ATTAGATGAGCAACAAGGCCAGTTGTACTCAGCTGCTGCTTGCCAGCTTCCCACAGGCATCTAACTGGCCACAGGGAGAAAAGGGTGCTGTGCTAGCTTTTGGGTTGATCCAACAGGACTTTTTATACTCTCATGACAACTGGCAGATTTCTTCCAGATTGTAATGTGTTTTAGTAGACCTTGTTCTGCCTTGCCTGATAATCCTGCCTTTCTGTTGCATTATCCTTTCTAAGCTGCTGCACTCAAAATGTCATCAGATGCACAAACTTTGAAGATCGATAGCATCCTCATCACTGCCTTTCACTGCTGGTCACTGCACTACATCAAGACCGGCTGTCACTTTGAGGCAACACAAATGCACTTTTGTTGCCTAAACCCTTCTTTTATTATTTTCCTGATATCAAAATCAAGGCACTGACCAAAAACGCCTTGGGTCAGTGTATGTTAGGGTCAAGCCTTAAGATCTTTTCCAAAACCAAACAAGTGGTAACTTCTATTTTGATAGCTGGACTCTTCTAGCTTCCATTCCAGCTAAGTAGTTTTGCTTTCTCACAATAATTTGAAGGAGTGGGACTACATATGAATTCCGTAGAATTCTGAAGAGGAATTCTAGCTAATATACAGGTTTATTGCCAGTCGGAATGTAGTATTTGCTTTTAGTTTTCTGTGAGGTTCAGTGGCTTATTTATAAGGTATAAAACAGAAAAGTGAGCATTGATGAAAACATATCTAGGAGGCAGGACCTGAGCATGTTGCTAAGAGACAAAGGTTTTATTGCTTCACTATCCAGTTGTACACACATTGGATCTAAATGCTTTGAAAATATAGTGTACCCAGTGCTTTTTTTTTCTAGACAAAAAAGTGCTGGAACGCACCTCCCTCAGAAGACCCATCCCAGAGCAGAAAGAGGATCTATTTCGGGGTTGTGGAGGGTGTCTCCTCACTAACCAGAGGCTTGTTGAGGCTGCTCAGTTGAGGCAACAAAGCGGAGCCTTCCAAACCTCAGCTGAGCAGCTTAACAAGTACAAATGCACACCCTGCTGTCAGGGGCTGGACTGAGGAGGAATGGTGGGGACCGCCCTCCTCCTCCTGGCCCTTCCTGAGAACAGGAGGACAGTATAGATTTAGATCAGTGGTTTGCAGAAGGGCATAGTTCAGAGGCTGCAGAGGGCAGAAGCTGGGAAATATTGGAAGTGGAACAGCAGGAAGAAGCACCAGGGGAGAGACAGCTGACAGACTCAGTGTCCTTGGAAAGCGTTCCTGACCCTGCTTCTCCCAGGACCAGACGGGCGTTGAACAGAGAGCTCAGCGGCAGAAGGCTCAGATTAGCGGGCGCGGGACTGACGTAGATTAGGGGAGAACACCACCATCATTGCAGAGACTACATCCTTTTGCTCTCTGTGAATACTGAATAAATTATGTGGTAAGGACTCTTTGTGTTATCTGCTTTTTCTTGGCTGCCACCGGGGGAGGGATAGTAGTCCCTGAGCCTTGACACCTGCACACCTCTCAGCCGGGAGCTTGCTCAGTTGAGGTGCAGCCTTCCTCTGCGTCAGCTATTAGCTGGGAGGCTGACCAGCCTCAGCAAAGCCCCACTGTGTATCCAGCTTGCGAAGAGACCATAGAGGGTGTCCTTTGGGCTTTGGGGAGGGTCTATCATGAGCTGGATGTGTAGCATGGCTTTGCTGAGGCTGGTCAGGTCTCACCCACCCCCCACCCCACTTCTGGAGCCAGCCAAGAAGTGCAGAAGAGTTCTAGCTGACAAGAAGCCCTGTGCATTTAACTGCACCGGAGACTGTCAGTGCAATCGTCTCGAAAGCGACATCAAAGTGCTTACAATTAATGCAGCTGAATTGCACCTAGTGACACAACCAAAAGTAGTTCTTTCGGTAATAAACGTTACCACAGTTCTTTTGCCGTTGTAAAGTTGTAAATAAAAGTATGTGATGCTTTTTAATGAAGCTCCCAGGTCACTCAAACCAAAATTATTTTAAAACCCATTTTATTTTTATACCATACCCAAAGTGTACACAGGTGTACTTTCAGCTGCTCTTTTGAAAACGGACAGTGATTTTAAATGCCAGTGCAAGGTCTGACTATTACTTTAACCTTCCATTTATATTGTTCTAAAGGCTATTGCTAATGCCATCAGTGTAATATGCGTAGCTGTAACGGCGAGTAAAGAGAGTTGGAGACCACAACACTTAAACCATACCTGTCACGGTCCGGTTCACGGGTGATCGAAGTCCCGGCAGGGGACGTCAGGACCGGGGGCAAGATGGCAGGGTGGGAGCAGGGACAGTGGTCCAGAAGCCGGGAGTCGGGAGCCAAGAGTCCGAGGGTCAGAGAGCCGGGAGTCAAGAAGCCAAGGGTCTGAGGGTCAGGAAGCAAGGAATCACGAAGTCAGGGGTCCAAGGATCAAGAAGCTGAGGTTCAAGGATCAGGAAGCAAGAAGTCAAATGCAGCAAGGCAGGAAGCGTGTTGTTGTAGCAAAGAGCTGAACGGAAATGCTGACCTTCTATCCCTTCCCAGCTCTTGCCACCAGGTGCTGTGAGTTACCAATCGGCCTCACCTGTGAGGCCGTGCCTTGCCTCTTCAGAACAAACTTAGGAAGGCCCCAGTCCTGCAAAGTCCTATTGGTCACGGGGCTTGTCTCCTGCACGCACACCTGACAATACCTGCACACTATATTCTCCGGTCCCCAAGGATCTTCCCAGACAACCAGTTTTTCAAAGAACAAATGTAGCACAGCTGTTCATTTGTTCTGCAGGACGCAACTGTCTTTCCTTCAAGAAAGGGCTTCTGTTCAGGATATTGAATTATTGCAGCACTCAGCTGCAATATATCACCATTGGGAAAATGCAATTAAATCCACAGCCAGTGAGGCTTTTGCAATTTGAGGTGGTGCGTGGACAGTGGTTGCAGGAGTGTCATAGAAACCTACCGATAGATCCCATGGTATCAATAACAAAATTCCCCCTCTAGTCATACCGTGTCTTTATTTTATTGTTAATTTTCTCTGAAAGATATATGCTCTTTCTTCCCATACTGGAACATTTATCTTTTCCTGGCACTGTTGCGTTGCAAAAAATGAATGAATGTACTTCCATCTCAACCAAAGGAGATTGCAGAGAAGTTGAATGCATTGCTTTTGTCTCCACAGCAGAGGGTGTAAGGCAGATCCCTTTCACAGAAAATGAGTTTTGAGGAACTCAGGCAAATGGTGGTGACAAGAGACAACTTCCTAGGCCTTACTGACATTAAAACTGGCAAAACACTGGGTCTGGATAGCATCCAACCATACAAAATGGTTCATCTTCTAAGAGAAAAAAAAAAGTAACTTGTTCCTAAAATCTCCCTCCATACCCAAATATTCCAAAGTGGCCAACAGAGTCATGCCGATGGTTTGCACAGTGTTATTATCTCTTCACGAGAGAGAAGTATGATTAACCTCTCCAAAGAGAAGAAAATAAAAAAGCCATGCATTAGTCAGGGCTTCTCCACACTTGCCATGTATGGTGCTATAGCTGCGGTTGGATCCATTTTTAAGTGCATTTGGAGCTGATATTCTACACCTTTTGTCACATGGTTGCTGTTTTTACAAAGCGAGTGCCTTTTTCCTCCTCCCACACTAATGGCAGGTTGCACCCAAACTGAGAAAAGGTCTGTGGTTGTAGTCACACCCCTCACTTTCCCTTCCCTTGTGTCCTGCCAGCCAGTAAACGTAGGATTTCTAAGCATGTGCATGGAGATAGCACTTGCAAGTTTTCTTTGGATTTTTTGGTATATACAGTGGTACCTCGGGTTACATACGCTTCAGGTTACAGACTCCGCTAACCCAGAAATAGTGTTTCAGGTTAAGTACTTTGCTTCAGGATGAGAACAGAAATCGTGCTCCGGCGGCGTGGCAGCAGCGGGAGGCCCCATTAGCTAAAGTGGTGCTTCAGGTTAAGAACAGTTTCAGGTTAAGAACGGACCTCCGGAATGAATTAAGTACTTAACCAAAGGTACCACTGTAATACCTTGTATTCTGGAATTCTAACAAATTATAAAAGGTTAGACAGGAGGAACTCTCTGTGTCTGCCTGAGCTACAGCTGATCCCTGAACTCCCTTCACTAAGCTGACATCATGTCTCTGAACAGTTCGCAAACTGACAGCTTGCACTGGTCAGAGGGAGTGGCATGAAGCAGCTATCTCCAAAACCACACCGCACAAGCCCCCGCCCAGAAAGTGGGGTGGTGCCACACAAATGATAATACTGAGGATCCATTCTGCATCTTTTGCAAATGTTGGGACCTTTTCATTTCTAGAAGGGAAAAAAAACATTTTGAGTATCGGTACATTGTTTTGAATAGTTGCTGAAGAATGGCAGCATGTGGCAGCATGCCAGAAAAGAAAAACCAGTTAACAATACCTCTATAAAAGCTAAGGTCCTTGGTTAGGTACATAGCTGACTTGGAAAATAAGTTTAAGAAATTTGCTTATCCTTAAATGCCCAAGGCTGATTAATTTTCATTTCACTGCAGTTGTTGTTTCCTGGTGACGTTTTAATGCTTTCATGTATCTGTATTAGCATGATGGTTTAAATTGCTGTATTTGAGTTTGGATCGAAGGTTGTAAAAGCTGAGTTCTGCAAGTACAATAGGACTTCTTCATCTTGTCCCCCCTTGAAATGTATTCCTCTGCCCTAGCACTCTCCCTGAACCTGCTCTGGAGCCCCCAAACCTTCCAGAGCTGATGTAGGTGGCACTACTGGATACAAACCATGAGCTATTTTTACTATTAGCCACCTTGAGCGCTTTCAAGGAAAGATATGGGATATAATTTTTTTAAATAAATAATAACAAGTATATACAGCTTCCTATAGCATAACAACTAAGCATAAGAGTTAGAGAGAAAGGGATCTGTAAAGACACTACCACAAGATGATGAAATGGGGCCTTATATGTGGGTTATGGAATTCCACACCAAGGTTTTACAGAGCTGAGAAAGAAAGGTATTTTTTCCATTATGCATTTAATTTATTGCAATTATTTGCTTCAAGTTCCAACATTTTCCAGTGAATATGACCAAAGAATACTTTTAATATAGGCAATTGCTTTTGGTGGAGGGATTCACACTCCGTATTCCTATTCAAATCTGTTTCCAGCAAATGCTAAGTGACAGACCAGCAACAGATAAAGTGCATTTAGGTAAAGGCAAACAAGTGTCATATAGACTTAAAAAAAAATACAGCAGTTGAGCAAAACACCATCCTGATAGTTTTAGTGCACTACATTTGAGGAGTTTGCCACCTTCCAATTCAATTTTATATCATTCAAGCTATTCATTCCAAAAATGCTGAATATTAATATTAAACATTAAATACTTAATATTAAAATAGCTTCTATATTTTAAAAAATGACCAACGTACACAAACAGGCATTTCTAGAAGCCTTAAAAGCCAGTTTCCTTGCAGTCCAATAAACAATTTTAATAGCAAATCCTTTTATCCTTTGGATCCAGGCTTCAGACTTGCGAATGCTTTTGAGTTCTTAAGGGAATAGGAAGTTTCATTGAGAAAAGAGATAAAATGAGAGTCTCTCTCAGACTTCTTGGATTCAAAAATAACTACAATGGTAAAATGAGGTTCGGGGCGAGTCAAAAAGTATGTGCTTTGAACTTTGTCATCATAGAAATGGACCACCTTTTCCAAACTGTTGAGGTCAGAAGCCTTGTCAGACATAATCATGATGACATTGGGCCAGTGCATAACAGGCCTGTCACTGGGCAGAGATACTACTGCAGGATACTGATCAACACCTTTGGGGGCTTCTCTGTAGGAATGGGGATGATGGTAACCATGTCCCTGAAAGCTCTCCGATCCACGGTTGTCAAAGATTAAGGAAACGTTAACAGCATCGTATTTCCTGATAAAGCTGGAAATTTTCCCAAAATAATCAGGATTGGCTTTTGCAGTCAATGTCTTCATTTCAGATGGCGTCGTTTGTCGACTAAGTGCCTCATGAAAGTAAAAGCTAAATTTGGCAAGGAGGATATTCCTGAGTTTCATGAGCCACAGGAAAAGGTGTGGCGGTTGCACAGCCTTCTGAGACTGGCCACCAAACAGGTGTTTCTTGGTTTCTCGTTGCTTCTCAAAAATCTGTCCCCAGGTCTGCAGCTTTGTGTGAGCATTGTGCAAATGCACCAAGGATGGGAGGAATTTCCACTCTGAGATCTGTGCCTGAGCCTTCAAAAGATGGGTAAGCACATCCACTTCTAACTGGAAGCTACTTTCCAGAGGACTAAGGATTGGATGATGAAATCTAGAGAAGGGAAGACATTTCGAGATGCATGAGACGCATTGCACAGAAAAGCTATTCTCTCAATCAGCCAAGAATCCAGAGAGAGTGTACAGTTCTAGAGCATGCTTGCCAAATGCTGTCCTTCCCGGAAACAACACCATGGTACAAAACAGAATGGAAGAGCTTTGTCACTACTTCTAATAGGATTGTAAGATCTTGGCAACTCTGCATGTTATAATCATGTACCAGGTACACCGAATAATCAATTCACCCATGTTCCACTCACCAATGTATCCAAGTTGAGTAATTTCTATGCTTGTCTCCAAGGGGCACAACAGCCACATTCACACATCACAAGAAGCCATCAACCATAGTAAATCATGCCTGCTTCACTCCTCTTGGATCACATCGGCAGAAAGCAAACCATAATCCCCAGCTAGGCGTTGTATTTGAACAAGGAACCATGGTTTGTTTTGCTCCTAACAAACCATAATCTTAGCCAAGGTTTATTCCTGGCTTACTGATTATGGTTGTTGGGAGCAAAACAAAGCAGAGTTCAGAACATTAAGCCAGAGATCATGGTTTGTTTCCTCCACACAGTAGTGGAGAGGACATAAACACACCAGAAATGTATGTTCAAGGTAAACCATTAATTATAGCATACATGTGAAGTGGGCCAATACTTCCAAGTGTTGGATAATATATGATTTATTCCCAAATTCTGCAAAAAAAAACAAAGCCCCTCCAACTCACCATAGAATGCTTCACATTTGGATGCAGCAGAAAACTTTGGTCAGAATAAGTTATACTAATTAAATTATATAAACATCCACTTGAAAGTGACCCACTACTCATTTCTACAAAATTTCAGCTCCAGTTGGTTCCAACGACCAGGTCAACAGCCATTTTATTGTTACTGCAAACTAGATAACGAAGAAAAAGCACAGACCAGTGCTCAAATTGTTTCCTAATGAGAGGAACATTCCTGATATTGTGTCTGAAAAAATGTTGCCTACTTGGAGACAATGTGCCTTCAGTCCACCATATAAGACTCTCAGCTAACCAAGTTTAAATGAAGCAGAATTTAAACTGAATGCAAGCCTTGTCGGGGACATCTAGTGAAAAACTGTAATTCCAGAAAATTGCCAACTGAATGATGATGATGAAGAAGGCGGCTAAATGACAAAACTTACACTGTCTCAGAAATGTGTACTAATTAAAAGCCTTACCACAGACACCATTACAAAGTCGTTTCCACACCTGCTTTCTACACACACAAAAATGTCTACTCCTGACACTGACAATTAAGAAATACAGATATGAAACCATATTTTTTAAAAAAATTAAATTATGGGGAACTATTTAAAATTAATTAGTGGATGTTGCAGTTTAGAAAAATCATGATGATAAGGCTGAGAGGATACAATTTTGTACCAACCCTAAATCTGTGATTATGTTCTTAAATTTAGACACTATATATAAATTTGCAGGCTTCCTGAGCCCATCAAAAAAAAATTAAGGGGTAGGGGAAGATGAAAGTTAATGAAATTGTTGGATAGCAAACATGATAGAAACTGCCAGATCCCTGTTCCAACAGCTGGTCATATAAAACACCGGGGTTGGGGGGAATTGCAGACACTTTGTTGGCATTGTTCATATATGTTAAACTCATTTTTTGCTAATATGTAAAATGGTATAAAGACTAAACCATTTGGATTCCGGACTGCTTTTACACTGACAAAGCTATAATGCAAATTTTCAATCCTTCTGCTTAAAATAAAAACATCAATGACATTAAAAGGACACACTGACCTTGAACTGTACTTTTTAAGGATGGATTCCAAGATGTTTACCAGTTCCTCGGAGTTGATAAACTTTTGGGTGCTAAAGCTATACATTTTTTCATAGAAATCAGCAATTTCCATTCGAGCCTGAACAAAATAACAGAGCTGCTCAGACAGGTGAGAAAGCAATTCTTCTAGGTGGGGGGCTGTTCCCCCCAATGCATTCCGACCCGTTGCCACCACCTTCTTCAGTTCATTATGCAGAGATGTATATATGGTTCGTATAGAGTCTTTTCGGCTGAAGAAAGACTGTCCACCTGTATTTTTTTTGAAAAGAAGTATATATTACCGATACTATGGATGAAAATTGCACAACAATATGCCTCCGTAGTTAATTAGCAATTGCATGTTCAGCAGCAACAATGACTTGTAAGAGATTTCATTATTACGTAATAGAAGTTTGCATTTTAGCAAGTTTAACCTCTAAAGGTAAAGGGACCCCTGACCATTAGGTCCATTTGTGACTGACTCTGGGGTTGCGGCGCTCATCTTGCTTTATTGGCCAAGGGAGCCGGCATACAGCTTCCGGGTCATGTGGCCAGCATGACTAAGCCGCTTCTGGCGAACCAGAGCAGTGCACGGAAACGCCGTTTACCTTCCTGCCGGAGCGGTACCTATTTATCTACTTGCACTTTGACGTGCTTTCGAACTGCTAGGCTGGCAGGAACAGGGACCGAGCAACGGGAGCTCGCCCCGTCGCGGGGATTCAAACCGCCGACCTTTTGATTGGCAGGCCCTAGGCTCTGTGGTTTAACCCACAGCGCCACCTGCGTCCCAGTTTAACCTCTACTTGTTCCAAATTAATTTTTCATCAGGGGCCTTCTGCCACATTGCTTCACTGTCCATGCCTTGTTTTCAGAAAGGTCTAGATATTACTTCTAAGTTTGCTGGGAAGAATATAGTCAACCTAGAAGTAACCTCTTCTCTAAGGATTTTACACAGCATTGTCATCATTAAATGTTAATAACTCATGCTGCTATTAATAGCTAGACTTTTGAATGTGTTTTTGACCAAACAACACGAAACACTTTTAAGTTTTTTAAACCCTGAAACGTGAAACGTACAGTCATGAATATACCAACATTCTAACTGCAAATCAGAACTCAAAGAGAACAGATGAACTCAAAGACCTGCTCATTAGTCCTTAAAAGCACACAAGCAAGTACATTTTAAATTATTTAAGATTAAGAAAGCTTAAGCATGTATTTTCCCAAGAGCCACATCACACCTCAAGGGAGTCACAAGACCCATTAAGGGAAGGAAGCAGAGTTAAGTAATCAAATGCAAAGAACATAGTGCATGAGAGTAATATAATTCTTATTTGTAACCAGCTGTGATTTTGAAAGCAAGGACTAAAAATCCCTCCAAGATTCTTTAACTCTTTTCATGCTTTTATTTTTCCCACTCCAGCAAGTGCAAAGTTCCTCTGCAACTCTTCTCTCCTTTTGTCTCACGGCTTTTTTCAGAATATGAGACTTCAGGAAGGACTTATGCTTTTCTGTTTTTGGACAGTGCCTATTGGGTGATTTTATTAAACTGGTGTTGCTGACAGTTCCATGTGACAACCTAGTTCTGCAAACATGAGCATTAGAAGAACCAGAAAGCCCTAACAGGTTACTGATATCAGCACATTACCTGGACTGCCAGTGCCATGTCAAAGAATGCTGTTTTAGAATAGCTTTATAAATCTGAACAAACGTTTAAGTTGCTCAATGTATTGAGCTGATGTATTGTGTTAAAAAAGGGGCCCCTCAATATTGTTATTATTGAATTCAGTTTCTGCCGGGCAAGAAACGGGAACTATAAAGGCAGGATGACAGGATGTATTGCTTGTGATGAACATTGGGAGTCTGAAGCAACTCTTCCATGAAACACGTACACCTTTGCCTGCAAATATACCTTTGAGCTGTCCCTAGCTTTTGTTTGTTCTGCTGAACAGCCCAAGGCTGTCGTGGATATGGATGTCTGGAAAGGTGTGGGGGGGTGAGTGAAGTGCAGAAGGGGGATGACGTGGGCCCAACCCCTCAGCATAGGAGCCAACTCCTAGGGGCCGAGGTCCCTTTGCCCCCCCCCAAATAAAATAGCTGAGGGAGCTGGGGGGGGCAGCCAAAGTTGATGGGTGTTGCCATTCAAATGAGGTGCGTGCGGGGATCATAGCTGTCAACCTTCCCTTTTTTTACGGGAAATTCCCTTATTCCAGCGCCATTTCCCACTGCTTCCCGCTGCTATCCCGGATTGTTAGATATCCAGTAGACTGTCCCTGGGGACAGGTGAAGCTGCTGATCCCTTATTTTCAAGGCTGCTGATCCCTTATTCTCAAATCTGAAAGTTGACAGCTATGGTGGGGATGTGGCTTATTATTCTTATGGGTTAAACCACAGAGCCTAGGACTTGCCGATCAGAAAGTCAGCGGTTCGAATCCCCGCGACGGGGTGAGCTCCCGTTGCTCGGTCCCTGCTCCTGCCAACCTGGCAGTTCGAAAGCACGTCAAAGTGCAAGTAGATAAATAGGCACCGCTCTGGCAGGAAGGTAAACGGCGTTTCCGTGCGCTGCTCTGGTTCGCCAGAAGCAGCTTAATCATGCTGGCCACATGACCCAGAAGCTGTACGCTGGCTCCCTCGGCCAATAAAGCAAGATGAGCGCCGCAACCCCAGAGTCAGTCACAACTGGACCTAATGGTCAGGGGTCCCTTTACCTTTACCTATAGCTGGGGGTCTCAGGGCAGTTCACATAATATCTGCCCCCCACCCCGATATTTTATTCAAGTTGGCACCCCTGCCCTCACTCAACATCTACACCTCGGGACCAACTGCTGGCGGGCCTGAGGAGAAGTTCCGCACGTCAAGGAAGAACTGCCCTTCTCTGTCAAGGGGAGACCTGCGCCTCAGTGGGATGGGGCGGCGGGGGTGGGGGGAGGAGAGAAGAAAAGCGGCCCCAAAGCAGCATCAGCGGCCCGGTCGGTACCTAGTTTCTGGCCCAGGAAGGTCATGCTGTGATAGGCCTTCTCGGCCGCGGCCAGGTGGGCCAAGCCGGCCAGCAGCGAGAGCCAGCTGGCGCCCGCGCTCTTGTTGGCCTCGCGCTCCTTCTCCACATTGTCCTTGGCCTTGTCGTAGGAGAAGATGCCCAGGTGCGAGAAGAAGGTCTCCAGCACCGCCTGCTCCACCGGCACCGGCGCGCCCAGAGGGGTAGACTCCCCCATTCGCCCGCCGCCGCCGCCGCCACGCGCACGGCAGCCACCTCTCCCGCGCCCCGCCGCGGAGACATCCACAAACACACGCGCGCGCGCGCGCCAGACATATACACCTACAGGTCACGTGAGCCGGAGGGCGGCCATCATAACCCCCGCGCGCGCCCGCCCCTTCCCTATTCAAGAGCCAATCAGGCTGTAGGGAAGGCGCAGCGCCACGTGATCTATCAGGGAAGCCAAAGGGCGGGGGAACCCGAGCGAGGCTGGTGAGGGGCGGGGACGAGGAATCAGGGAAACGAATCCTATTGGTTATTGAATCCAACAATCGGCGGGGCGGGGACAAATTTATTTCCATAGGAGCGCAGCGAGGACAGAAGGGCTCAAGTCCTAGAGCGGCGGCCCGAAGGCTGCAGCCGCCAACCTTGTACAGCTGCATGCTCGCAGGCACATCGACGGTGGGGTTGGAACTCGTTCCTTCTCTACTCATCCACTAATAATGGCCAGCTTTGAGGCCCAGACAGGATGGGGATTTGCCACACATGCCCAAGACTGTATCAGGCTTCCTTTTTCCGTGCTACACACTTGCACAATACTTCCAACTCAGCACCCAGTTCTTTACCAAAAGACATGCCACCAGTCTGTTTTGCAGCTTTCTTAGTCGTCCTATATTTTTCTGTTAATATCAAGATTATTGGTCAATTTGTCCTTGCTTCCTGTGTTTGGATTCTGAGAAAGAACTAAGAGGAAAGACATAGAGCCCCTGACCCCAGGTTTTGTTTTTTAAACTCTGGAGAAATTTTCCAAACTTAAAAGTAGAAACATCAGGCGAAAGATGACTATCATGGTAGCAGCATTGCCTGTCCGCTTGCCTTTAAGTCAGTCAGCTGTAACGCCACCTGCCCCATATCTGGCATTTTGTGTAGCGTCAGCCAAAAGTTCTCCACACCCGCTATAGCCACAACTTTTGCGCCTCACATTACCCTTCCCAGTTTTCAACTATTTTTATAGTGAGTCTGTCAAGTCAAAATACAGTGGTACCTCGGGTTAAGAACTTAATTCGTTCTGGAGGTCTGTTCTTAACTTGAAACTGTTCTTAACCTGAAGCACCACTTTAGCTAATGGGGCCTCCCGCTGTGCCACCACTGCACAATTTCTGTTCTCATCCTGAAGCAAAGTTCTTAACCTGAGGTAATATTTCTGGGTTAGCGGAGTCTGTAACCTGAAGCATATGTAACCCGAGGTACCACTGTATTCAACTCTGACATAGGCCACACAAACTCTGGTGCAAATATGCAGGGACACTTTCAGCACCTGGCATAGTGGACAATTTGGGGAGGCCTCTATGTCCTGGCAGGATCCACTAAGCCTGGCATTCCACCCACCTACTTGCAGCCAACTGGTACCTCCAGCCTCTGTACCTCATCTGCTGTTCCTAAGAACAAGGCAAGACTGCTTTTCTTTGTACACATTTTACACATTGGAGCAATAAATATGTGTAGGCTACACCAACCTAGCATTTTCCTGTGTTCATAATGGAAGTATTGTGTGTTCTTCTTTGCTAGTTTTGTTGAGTTGGAGTCTGTTTACATGTTAAGGAAAGTGACAGGTATAATAAAAAGTACAAAATATAACTTTCTATATGTAGTTTCTGTATCTGCCACAGTCGTGTGCCTAGCAATTTAAGGTAGCAAATGACTACTTGTGGCAATAACAATTACCTGTTCCTCAGCAACCTGAGAAACCTTGCTCTTCTCTTTTCTAAACTTAAAAGCAAGGCTCTTTGTGATAAGGTGACGAAGCCAGTCTGTGTATGGGTCTATCAGAGAGCATCCTGTTCTGTGAATGATACTCTAGGTCCATCAGCTCCCTTGTCCTTCCACAGATGCACAGCAGAGAGGTGGGAAGAGGATGACAGGCAGATGTGCAATTTCTCTCAACATTGTATTTGCAAAGTTAGGACAATTATGTTCCAGACCTAACAAAAATAATCAGAAGTTCAAAAAGAACTTTATTGAAACTCAGAGCAAATGAACCAAGTCTGCATTTAGAAGAACGTGTTTGGTCTCTTGGTGGTGAAGCGCGGCTTATGTTGACGACGCAGAACTCTATGTGGCAGAGGGAACTTGATTTTGGAATCCTGTAGGAAAACAAAGCATTAATAAATGTTCATTCGACACTAACTAGTAAAATTAATTCATGGCTACTATGTTTTAATAATTGACATTACTACACAAGAAAAATAGAGTTAGTAAAAATAAATTAACATCTTGGATGTTAATAGCAACAGGGATGCACCTTTCTAATCCCCACACACATGTAATAAAGGCAGCAAAGCTGCTAAAAAGTCACTAGTGCAAAATGTCTTTAGGTGTCCTTCAATATCAGATACGTTTCAGGCTCCATACCCTTTCTGATGCGACTACAAAAATATATAAATCCATTTTTCCCAGTAATATCATGGTACCACTTACATATCTGCACCAGAATCTGCACTGTGGTAAAAAAACAGCTGGGGGACACACTGCACTGCACTAAAATTATATGATTTTTTTTATAATAAGCCAAAACCAAACAAACATCTGTATGTTTTAATCAGCAAAGAAGAAACAAAGACTGAATGCTTAGAGGACATTTTGCAAATGAACATTTTAAAGAACAAAACAAGGTGTGTATACATAATACTATAAATTTGAAACTAAGCAGCAAGAGGAGAAATAGTAAAAGCATGTTGTTTCATGTTATATAACACAAAAGTATTTTTATAGTAAAAGAAAATGGGTCCATGCATGAGTATAATGCGTTTTCCCTCCCTCATCTACAATCTGCACCCCCTCTTGTCCCAGAAATTGCTCTAGGAGGATGGGGGAATTCTCTTGAGTGAAGATCTGCTCATGCAGACCCAGTATAGGCAATTTTACATGATTAAAATTTGATCTGGTTTAGTACTGTAGTTCTGATGTAAGAACTGGGGGGCTCAAAACACACCAGATACTAAGGTCCAGGACAAATATGCAGCTCATGATCCCCTAAAGTTATTTTTTATTGACATCACTTTGATGAAGACTGTTCCATTCTCAACTTTGTAGAGATGTCAAAAGTACGCATTTAATCTACTTACATGGAACTGCTTGACAGCTGGTCTGCGGCACTTGTTAGCAGCGATCTCTTCAACTTTCATGATCTGAATTGAGTGAGCACGAGCTCTATGACGGGCTCCCATATCGCGATCTGTAATATGCCAGACAATTATGAACTATTCTAATAACATAAACAAGGTTGAGCCCTGTAACTAGATATCTATACATACACAAATACACAATCTTGCTGTATTTATTTGTAGGACCTTCAATTTCACTTTCAAAGGCACAGCAGCTCTTGAAAGGCGACAAGGTACATTTAATATCTGCACACACGGCAAGAACATTTTATTATAAACAATGTTCTTTGGGTTTGTATGCAGTTTTAAATTTCAACACCAGTAACAATTTGTGGCTCTTCCATCATGTAAACTGTACATGTGGATAGTACTAAAGGACAGCCAAAGTTCCCAATTAACAAAAAAAAAGTTAAAAGTAATTTTCACACCACAAATCACATGAATTAGGTGGCAGAGTACAGTTTATACAGTGTTTCTCAAACTGTGGCCCCCAGCTTTTGTTGGACTACAACTCCCATCATCCCTGATCACTGGTCCTGGAGCTAGGGGTGATGGGAGTTGAAGTCCGACAACAGCAGGTTGGTTTTGAGCCATGCTAGCCTCTTCGTTGACCCAAACTAGGTCAAGATAAGTCTGGCTATGAACAGATTAAAAGAATGAAACTTATCTTGACCTGGCTTGGGTCAATGAAAAGAATGCCAGACACATTATCCATAACTAAGACCCATCAAGAACAATGGAATGTGCATCAGTCCCAAACTTGTTTATGACTAGAGCACACAAAGCTGCAACTTATTTTTCAAAAAACCTTAAGAGTTGTATCCAACACTGCATGAACAAAATTCCACTTGTGCGGGACTTGTTTATTCTCCCCCCAGTGCACACCCAAAAAAAAAATCTGCTCTGAGCGGGGGTCCCCCAACCATCAGGAGATAATTTTGAGGGAACAGGAGGTGCTAGGAGGGTCAGGAGAGAAAGTTCTTTTGCACACATAGAAGTCTGTGGTAGGGCATTTGTTGGAAACAACCTTTAATGATTAAAGAATCTGCATGGGTGGAGCAAAACTACCACAACTCTTAAGTCACAGAAATATAGGTTGCAGCCAACTATAACCTGGCTTCATATAAAATGCTTTGTCAATTTGGATCGCATAACTAATCAAAATAAATGTATAATGAAATGGATGACACGATAAAAACTTTGAATTATTTCCTCTTTTTCATTATCTTTCAATAGTGCTATCGAAAAGAAACCAAACATTCCAAAGGGTCTCTACTTACAGCACTGTGTAACAGCTCCAGCAGTTGTCAAATCTCTGTACTCCCTGTACATGTTATGCGTTCCACTACGAGAATCATAGCGCAGCCAGATACCGAAATTCTTCACCTTCAACGGAGACTTCTCAAAAACCTATGATTGCATTAATAACATTGTCAGAAAAAACACATTACAGACTACCAGTGCTTTATATAACAAGTGAAAGCATCAACAAATGGGTCAGAATGGAGAGATTTCATTGCTGTTAAATTTATATGGCAGGAATAGGGAACCTATTAACTTCCAGATGTTTTAGACTACAACTCCCATCAGCCTTCATGGTCAATGTTTCAGGATGATGGACTGTTCGAAACTCCCATTGTTCTAGGCACATTTTGAGGCAGCAAATTTCATTAGTGCGAGCAGTTTCTGAGCTCTGTGCACAGTACGGCGCCTAAGATTTCACATTAAAACTGCAGAGTGGACGCAAAGGAGGACATTTTTCTGCCTCCCCTTTTCCAGCTACTCTCTGAAGACTGGAGAAGAGACCCTCTTAAGAGTATCAGGGGGGTGGGCAGGGGAAGGACTAGACCATGTGAAAAATGAACATAATATTTTAGCTGTTCATTCATTTTCAGCACTGTACAGTTATTAAAAAAGCATGCCTAGACATTCTGTTGTTGTGCTCATAACCAAGGTTTAAGGTGCCATTTAGCTCCTGGCTTCCATATCTCAGTTTCTAACACTAGGATGATGGGAGTTTTATTTCAGCAACATCTGGAGGGAAACAGATTCCTCATCTCTGTTATATGGTATATATGGCTTTCATTACTACAAAATGCTGCTGAGTACAAAGTACTGCTTTAAGTACTGTATGTGGATCATGCCTGGAACGAATATGCAGGCATCACAAAACAAACTAGTAAGAATGTAAAATTTCCTTGGTACAGCAATCCGATGTCCATCTGCAGCAGGACAGACTAATTTGTGGCTCGTCAACTCCTATGGACTCCATCTCTCATCAGTCCCATCAAGTATTGTCAAATGCTGATGAGAGATACAGTTCTGAAATCCAGATGGTACCAGTTTCAGAGATCCTGGTGTAATCCTATGCATGTTTTTTCAGAAGCCCCACTGCATTTAGAAGGGCTTATATTGTAAGTGTGCTTATGATTGCAGAATTAATCTAAAAACTACTGTGGACAGAATGCCAAAAGATGCTTTCAGAAGCTCAAAATAGTATATAAATACGAAGGTTAGTATCTGATTTTCAGAAGTATACTGTCTTGTAGCATGAAAGACTCATTTAGTAATCATAACCATTTAATGTAACTATACTAGCGGTCATCAACACATCTTGTGATGGTAAATTAGCTGCAGATTAAGTGTTACGTTTCACTTTCTTTCATTTGACTCGAGCTTATTGCCAATAAGCTCTACTGGGTGAACTCAAATTATAGTATTTTAAGAAAGAAATCTCTCCATGCGAATTAGAATTTTATAACCAATTTTCAATCTCAACCCCTCCAGGCTAATTTGGATTCTTTTAAATTAGAAACAATCTCTAGACCAGGCTTTCTCAATCTTGGGTTCCCAGATATTGGACAAAAACTCCCAAAAACCTGACCACCTGGGATTCGACTACCCTATGTAAATTCCGCTGAAATCAAGAGAATACTTTGGAAATTTATAAGGAATATTTTTCTATGTCCTTGTCCTATGTCTACCCCTTTTAAAACTGTAAAATGCCCAAAACATTACAGTAATACAGAATATCCTGCCAAATCCACACACTACACGAATTAGATTTTTCAAAGAAGTAGTAGCATGTTACAGAGAAACACAGTAACATTAATTTTAAGTGTTTTCAAAATGGAGGGAAAGCATTTCAAGATGCAATCCTAACTTCCACCTACCTGGAAGTAAAACCTACTGCATTCAATAGGAGTTACTTCTGAGTAAGCATTGTTAGTAGACTGACAATGAGCAGTGAAACATTTTGAGCCAACTACAGCACTTTAATACTTTTGAGGAAGCCAAAAAAGATAGGAGACAGACATTCTGAAAATTATTAATGAAGCATTGCTCAAATATATGTATGCGGAACCTTTGGCCCTCCAAAGGCTGCTGAACCAGCATGGCCAATTGACATAGGAGTTGTAATGCAGCAATATCTGGAGGGACAGAAGTTTCCCACAGGTGATATATACAAGCTAGGTACCTGGGAATGTTGGGTTAAGCAAATAAGCAAGCATTCCAACCACAAAATTAAACAGGTCTTTAAGATTTAAGTTTGTTCGTGGTCTTACCTGTCCACAGTACACAATTTCCCCAGAAGATTTCTTCATCTTCTTCAGCTGAGAGACAAAGTACCAGAAACGGGACTTTGCAACAACATGATTAGGAGCAAAGATGCGCATACGATAGAGAGGTGGTGTTGGGCACTTAGGAGTGGGGAGGCATCTCCCAACAACTTTGTACTCCCTCAGCTGAAAGAAAGAAAGAGAGAAAACAAACATGAAAAATCCATACTGCTTTTAGAGCCAGGGTGTTTTTACCTGCAAGATGATTGTAAAAAATGAATTACTTGTGCAACGGTAAAGGGATCCCTGACCATTAGGTCCAGTCGTGACCGACTCTGGGGTTGCAGCGCTTATCTCGCTTTACTGGCTGAGGGAGCCGGCGTACAGTGCTGGTCATGTGGCCAGCACGGAAACACTGTTTACCTTCCCGCCGGAGCGGTACCTATTTATCTACTTGCACTTTGACGTGCTTTATAACTGCTAGGCTGGCAGGAGCAGGGACCGAGCAACAGGAGCTCACCCCACTGCAGAGATTCGAACCGCCAACCTTCTGATCAGCAAGTCCTAGGCTCTGTGGTTTAACCCACAGCGCCACCTGTGCAACGGTATCTTGACGTTAATCATACTGAGCTCTGTACATTGTGCGCACACACATCGGCCCATCCCTGACATACAGGGAAAGTATATTTCAACGATCAGTAGTTTGCCCAGTTCAAAAGGTGCAGAAAGACCAGCCCCGATTGGAAACTGCATGTTCCCATGAGGGTGGAATGGAGGCGAGAGGAGTAGGCCTGATATAAAGGGGAAGCCTCCCCATTCCACGGCCTTGGAGTGGGGGGGGGGAACCATCCCCCTTAGGCGGGGCTTCTCAGCCAAGCGCGTCTCCCGGAGGCTCCACGCTGCGAGCTGACGGCGCCAGGGCCGCCATATTGGGCGCTCGCTCGTGGCCTGAGCCAGACAAGGCCGAGGAAAGACCCACGGAGAGCCGCCGCCTCCCTGCGTCGCTCCCGCCACCCTCAGCCGCTTTCCCCCCACCCCCGCCCGCTTCGCCTTATTAGAAGCGTCTGCCCGAGACGCCCGCAAGCCCGCGAGACCGGCGCTTCGCTTACGGTGCCCGACGCCTTCATGGTGCTGCCTCTCTCGCGGCCACCCAGAAAAGGAAGGCCCGCATGCGCGAACACCCGCACGTCACCAACCCGACGCGACGCCCCGCCTTTCCGGGGAGCTGCCGCCCGCTTATTGGTTTCACGCGGAAGGCATTCTGAATGGGCGCGAGAAACGTCCGTCTCGAGACGGACCACGTCGCTTATTGGTCAGTTTTCCAACGGAATTGACGTGAACGGCCTCAAGGGGGGGTATCGCTTGTGGTTCGCGGCGCGACAAAATCTACGTGAATGGGGTAGGTCTCTCATAGGCACGTTGCTGCAAATAAGGCAGCTGAAAGTTTAAATTCGGGTGCTTCTGTCATTCTGAAAGGATAAAATGATGGCGTTGCTATGCTTAGCAAATTTACAGTCCACCAGTTGCCTGTGTTCAAGGCAGGGCAGCTGCCACTCATGCCATAATCTGTAAATTATGGCATGAGAAAAGCATCAATTCTGATGCTGGATCATCTTCCCCCTCCACTCCAGCCAGCAACAGTTATTCTCACACGTTTCGGAGAGGAAGATGCCATAGGTCTTGTATTCCCAGAGATCTTTTGAGGATCGTCACATGATGGAGCAGAAAATTATCCAGCACCCAGCAGGACTCAACAACCACCTCGTTAGAGATTGGCCTAGTGAAAATGCATTCTCAGTCCTCCATCAACAAAATTCAGAGTGATATACTTCTGCTTGACCTAGAACTCATTGAAACATAATTCCCCTTTCCCTGGATTAGAGATGTTATAATCTCTACGCAGTCCAAATTGCAAGGCACTTTGCACCTCCCACCTTCCCTCATTTGAAATGTATATGCTCAATTGGATTTGACTTCAAATCTGTGGCGCTTTTCCTGAATTTTCACTACTGACTGGGAAGATGGTAGCATAGGGTAATCACTGCTATCGAAAACGCAGCTGCATGGCTTGTAAGTATTACCATGAATATGCTTCTCTACATTTTAAGGCTTAATCTGCCCAAGAATTAACAGCCTTCATAAATACATAGAGAGTCCAAAAGCGGTAGGTAAAAGGTAAGTAAAAATATTTTGAGTAAGTAAAATTTTTAAACCGAGCTGCAGAAGACAGAGAGATTAAGGAGCACATCCAGAAGGCAGCTTCTCACACAATTTAGAGGGTTTAGGAAGGATGGGTAGAATTGTCAACTAATTTTTTGGGGGGGAGGGAGTTTGAGTGTTTAGAACTTGCCACCCACTGATGATGTAACTAGAATCTAGCGACTAGATCCTAGTCCATTGTTTGGATAAGCAGTAATTGATCAACACAGGAATTAGCAATGTGACAGCATGTCTTTCAGAAGCCCAGAGACTCAGAAACAGTAACAGCAACAGTAAACCCTCTGGATTACCCTGCAGTGAACTCTCCCATTAATATTTGCCCCAACTTTTCATTCACTTGCTTTCCAACCCCAGTCCAGAGAAGAATCCCCTTTTATACTAGTTTTAAGATTAAAACAGTGTATCTTCTTGTTTGGAAATAAAGCCCCGTTGAAATCAGTGGGTCTTCTTTACGTAAACATAGGCTGCACTGTTGTGTTTTTCCTTCCACAGTGTTTAGCTGAGGATCTTCAGAATGTATTACAGTAAATGAATCTCATTTACAGAACTACAGTTCCCAGCGTCCCTTTGGGGGGGGGAGCCATGATAGCTAAACAGAAATGTGTGCAGCGCTGGCATACCCGGAGAGCGTCCCCGGTTGTCAGCTCGCATGCGGTCGAGAGGAAGTAATGCAACCGGACAGGCTTAAGGGGGTGGTAGTCTGTTTAAATGACTTGTGGATCTCACACATGAAACCAAAATAGCCACTGATCCCAGTCGGAGCTTCAGGTTATTTGTGGGGATGACTGTCTCTTTTACGGACAAAAAAACCAGCCTAAAACCTACAGGACATGCGGCGCTCTCGATCTCTGCGCGATGACTACAAGTCCCAGCATGCACTGCGCCCCGGAGAACGCATTCCCCGCCCCACCCCGGCCTACCGCCCTGATTGGTAGGAGCCAAAGCAAGCGTCGGGAAAAACCTGTTCCTGGGTTCAGGGCTTTTCCTTGCTCTGGGTTATTACAGGGCGCACCGCGTGCCTGTTCAAAGGGTTTGCCGCGGGGCAGGCTGGGAGCTGTAGTCTCGCTGGGCTTGTGGCAGTTTCCCGGGCGGAAAGGGGGAGGTGGGCTACGCGGCGTCTCCCCGCAACCCAGCCAAGGCGCGCAAGTGGCCCCGCGGCGGCGGACCTCGCACACTCTGCAGCGGGCTGCTCTTCCTCTGCCCGGCTCCCCTGCGGTTGTGGCGGCCTCTCGGGAGTGCCGAACGACGACGCCACCCCTCCCTGATGGACTAGCTGGGAAGGTAACGAAAGGGGGCGCGGGGCGCGTGCTCGTTCCCGCGTGGCCCACCTGGTGGCCCCCAGGGGGCGCGGGGCTGGGGTGGGGGGGGGTGGGCCAGCAAAGGGGTGCGCTTGGCCCCGGCAGGCCCCTCGGTGGGTGGTGGCGGGGTCGACCCGTCGGGCAGGTTCGGGGGTTGCGGTGCTCTTCCCTCGGGGGCGAAAGTAGCTGGGACCCCGCTTGAGGGATCCCTGTGGATCCCATTCCTCGCCCTCGGGGTGGGGGATCCGGCTCTCGCAAATCCCCACTTGGCCAATGGTCGTGCCTACTAGGGAACGTGTTGCGGGGAGGGGGGGCTAATCTCCTCTTTTTAGCGTGAAGGGGAGAGGATGGTTTAAATAAGAAATAAAAGCAATGCTGCGCCCGAAGGCCTCTTGCACATGAACCCGTTGCGCAGCAGCTGCTGGGTTGGTACGGAGTGGGGCTCGGGCCGGTTTCTTAGCCCGATCGACTGGTTGGTAGCTAGTGAGAAGCATCAAGGGCAGGAATCGTCTTTTTTTTTAAAAAAAGCGGTAATTAATTTGCATTAAGAATTGGTTCACACATGCCCATCCGTTGCTTGATGTTTCATCACTTTACAGCCATCCAAAAGCAATACTTCAGTTGACGCCAAACTTTCCCCCCCTTTGTTGTGCATCATAACGTGCGAGTCATTGCGTGATGGTGTAGTTGAGCTGTGAATGTGCTCCTAGGGATAGGAGTCAAGTCAAGTGGGCTGCAATGGATTGAAATTAAAAAACTGCAGTACACTGAACAGTACACCTAAGATAAGCCTGTTAGTGTTCTGAACACACCCTTAAAACACCTCTTTGCTCACTGATAGCCCTAAATTAGTAATATTTGCATGTGTAGGAATCACCATAGATAGAAGTGCCATATCTCCTTGACTACAGTAGTTTATAGTGGTGACAGTTCGCACCTACACACACACACCCTGATCAAGTGTTGAAAGTGATGTCACATTACATAGGAGCATGTGTGACATTAATTCACCATCCCTTAATATAGCCACCTTGGAAAAGCTGAATACTGTAGTAATGAATGACAGCATTTTCACTTTTTAAATGATTCATTTATTTCTAGTCTAATCCATGATGTTGTAAATAAATAATGCAGAGGGAAAGCCTGTGAGTTTGGTTGTTTGGATAATAACAGCAAACAGGACCCAAAAGACACTAATAAGGTAACAGGAAGCAGCGACCAGATGTAGGCTGACACTTTCCCCCACCCTCCAATCCCAAAACAGTTGCTGCTGTGTAAGGCCGATTGACTACAGGAGGAATATAATAATAATAATTTATTATTTATACCCCGTCCATCTGGAATTACTTCTAAGGAAACAAGTACAGGATTGTGCTGTCAGACTGATTGTGAACAACTCTTTAGGCTTTTGGTTCACTGTTTCTTTTCTTTTTCCCTAGGTCAGTTTAAATAAAGGGGAAATTAAAAGTTGTTGCTTTGATCTCTTTCTGTATGACGGTTAAAGTTGCTTCAGTGCAGGGGGTGACAGCTGTTTTGGGCCCTTGAGTACATCTGTAATTAGGAGAAACCCACACAGACACCACACACTCACCCCAACCAAGCACACATTGCAACCTATTCTATTGGCTAGGGTATAATGCTTCTTTCAAGCCTTATTCCAATGAGAGAAGGGGACCATGTAAGTGACTGGGAAGATCTCAGTGGGCACATGTTGGCAATCCTCGCTTTTAATGGAAGGTCTTGTGTTCCGCTTTATTTATCTGTGTGGGAATAGATATATTTGATGTTGTTGGCACAGATTTGCTCCTGAATTAAAATGGCTGTGTCTTGAGTCGGTCTAAAATAGATGTTTTTTGTACTGTATTTTTTTAAAGGGGTGTCACTTATGAGTCCAGGAGTTAAAACCTTGTTTTTCACTAGAAATCTTTGAACTTTTTGGTATAAATAAGGTGGATAATTCACACTACTACTGAGGTGCATGTTCAAATTATTCAATCCTTTAAGGTCTTGTAGTCTTTACCAGGGCTTTGTATAGGAGTTGGGCTCTTTCCTCCCCTTAAGTCTGTAGAGGGAGTAAAATTACATATTGCATAAAATCCTGTGTGCTGCAAGAATTTCAGCACAGTGTCATACTGTCTTTTGCAAACATGAGATGCCCCAGGAGGTAGAGACCAGTGTTCCTTCTTTCCTACAATAACATCGGGAGGCCTAGTTCTTGCCCCATTCAACTTCGGTGTGCTTACTCAAGGAACATTCTAGCACTAAAATGAAAATGTGTCTTCTTTCACTAGTCATGCCAGACTGCTGGTTCCTTTCGGTCCCAGATAGCACAGCCAATGGATAGGGATTATAGGAATTGTAGCTAGCAGCTGAAGGACTAAAGGTTTCCTAGCCCCGCTCTAGAGGGTGGAAATCCATCAGATCAAAAACCAACTCCAGTACAGGATACTGGGTCACTATATCTTCTTAAAAAATGGAAGTAAAATGAAAACAACTTGGAATACAACTCCATACGCATTTACTTGCTGAACTGAGTCAAACTTTTGGATAAACATGTAGAGGAATACATTGCTCATTTCGTGGAATCTCTATGAAGGGCAGAAAGCTTTCTTGTGATAAATCTTTATCTCCGGATGGCTAACCTGTGGAATTCTTTGATGCTGTTGGATTACAAGTCCAATTATTCCTGACCACTGGTCCTACTGACTGGTACTTGATGGGCAGGGGCCAACACATGTAAGGATTTAAAACAGATGTCAACTTCACAAAATCCAAAAGATGTAGGTCAATTGTGTTTTATATTGGGGAGCAACGAGTAGTTTCTAATGCAGTTGTATAAACGTCTAATGAAATTGTGAAGCAACTAGATTGCTTTGTTACATTCCAAATAAAACTGCGCAAAAAATGTCTTGCTCACATGGGTATCCAGATATTGGCACATTGAAGTATATGTTTTTGTAAGCTGAAATGGGTTGATATAATGATTTTGCTTTTTGGAAACATTCCCAACCCCAAAGTTTGATATGCAGCCTGAAGTATCTCATCTGCATGCAGTGCTTGATGTAGACCAGGTTGCAATTCCAGGCACACACTTGTAGTTGAGCTTCTGAGCTCTGGTGATTTCCCATACTTCCCCATTTGAGCCTCAAAGAATCTGGCCCCAGGACGCCACAGACCTAGCAAGCGGCAGGACTTGTTTTAAATGATCATCTCTGTGACACTTCAAATGAACATTAAAGGCCATCCCACTCTAAATATAACTTTTCCAAAGCCCGTAAACCAGCACCAAGGAGGGTGTGACTAACAATTGTTCTTCGGCTTGCTGCCTTGGGACCAGAGTGTCCTTTAGGAAACCTGATGAGTTGGTTGAAGATCCTGCAGCAGTGGAACAATGAACTGCTCCCCCGATAATACAAACCTTTTATTCATCTCTGCACCTTTCAGTTCATATGCACTGCACAGACAAACCACACAGCCCATTGTTGCCTGAGTAAAAATCTGAACCTGGCAGCCAGGCCATACCTTCATTTTTATTTTATTTTATTCAGGAAGAGAATTGTACAAGGAGGTTTGGTAACCCTTTAAAGATTTCTGTGGCAACAATATGGCAGCAAGTCTTCATTCTTTATTCTTTCTGGGCTAAATTGCATACAGTCGTACCTTGAAAGTCAAACAGCTTAGTTCCCAAATGTTTTGACTCCTGAAAGTGACTGCTCCAGTTTGCTGAACACCCAACAGCCAATCAGAAGCTGCACTTTGGTTTTCAAACCTTTGGAAGTCGAACGGAATTCCGGAACGGATTACATTCGACTTCCAAGGTACAACTGTATTATTTAATATAGAACACAGTTGCTGTGTTTATGATCTCTAACCGCCCTCCTTGCCCCAGAGCCTTCATCTCTCCCATTGTAGTTCAAGCTTTCATTTGGTTGTTGAGTTTATATACAAGAAGTTCTACAACAGGAGTGGGGATCCTGTGGCCCTGTGGATGTTGCTGGATTTCAGTTCCCATCGCCCTGGATCATTGGCCATGGTGGTGAGGACTAATCAGAGTTGGTGTTCAACAGCATCGGGAGAGCCACAGGTCCCTCTCTCCTGTTCTAATAAACAGGGCAGTTGCATTTCACATGGTTCGGCTTCAGCACCTGATACGAGAAAATAAGTAATTGTATTGATCAGCGCCAGTGATTCAGACTCCTTGTTTTCTTGATTTGTTTTCTCTGCAGATGTATGCAGCTTCTGCTGTGAGTGAATGGGATAATCCTGTTAAAAATAGGGAAGCTGGAGCATAGCAGAAATGGATGAACAAGCTCTTCTGGGATTAAACCCAAATGCTGACTTAGACTTCAGGCAACGAGTAAGTTTAATTATACTTTTTTCTCATAATCTATGTGACAACAGGTAGCTCACTGGACATGAACAGGATGTTGATTTCAGCTTAGAGTAAATAGTTCAGACCCGCAGTCAAAGATTCCACTGGTTTGAAAGTGTATGAGAAGTTTTTTTGAGGCTTCCACCTTCTGTTGGTACCTTGGTTTTTTTTTTGAGAAGCATTATCCATTTTATCACAGGTGTGGGCAGATTCCAGGTGTCTAGGATCTACTTTGTTCTAGACATCTGAGGTTCACCAGCTGGGCTTGGGTGCAAAATAGTGACTTGGGAAATATAGCCAGATGTAGATTGGTGTTCGAAAGGGATGCGGGTGGCGCTGTGGGTTAAACCACAGAGCCTAGGACTTGCCAATCAGAAGGTCGGCGGTTCGAATCCCCGTGACGGGGTGAGCTTCCGTTGCTCAGTCCCTGCTCCTGCCAACCTAGCAGTTCAAAAGCATGTCAAAGTGCAAGTAGATAAATAGGTATCGCTCCGGCGGAAAGGTAAACAGCGTTTCCATGCGCTGTTCTGGTTCGCCAGAAGTGGCTTAGTCATGCTGGCCACATGACCCAGAAGCTGTACGCCGGCTCCCTCAGCCAGTAAAGCGAGATGAGCGCCGCAACCCCAGAGTCAGTCACGACTGGACCTAATGGTCAGGGGTCCCTTTACCTTTACCTTTAGATTGGTGTTCAGAAGATGGAATCAGCTACCTTCTGCACCTCGTGAGCCATACACTGGGATAACCTGAATATATAAGAACAAATACATATCCACATTAACTGCCAACCAGGGACCCTAATAGACCAATTTGTGTGTGTGTAACCTTTTCATTGCTGCTGTTATTAAGCTGCTGGGACTCAGAATCCCTTGCCAATCTATGCAGTTCATCCAGTGATCAGCTAGTAGACCCCAGTCTTATTTTCTGTTCACCAATGTACTATCCCTCCTCACTTTTCTTGGCTCCTTATTTTTCTTGTAACCTAGGCCTTCTTTTATCTAGTTCTTGTAGTGACATACTGGCTATTAACCTCACACAAGGCAAGGGATTCCTCCCCACCCCTTCCCCTTTCATATTGGTCTCTCTTTCTCAACTCTCTCCCTCAGGCATAGGCAAACTCGGCCCTTTTGGGACCACAACTCCCATCATCCCTAGCTAACAGGACCAGTGGTCAGGGACAATGGGAACTGTAGTCCCAAAACATCTGGAGGGCCGAGTTTGCCTATGCCTGCTCTACCTCCTGTGCCTTGCCCTCCAATTCATTTTTCTCAGTTGCTTCCTCCTCTCATCCTTCCCTCCAATTCCTTTTTCTTAGTAGTTGTCCCCTTTGTTTCCCTTTCCATTGGCAACCCTGTACAGTGGTACCTCGGGTTAAGTACGTAATTCGTTCCGGAGGTCTGTACTTAACCTGAAACTGTTCTTAACCTGAAGCACCACTTTAGCTAATGGGGCCTCCTGCTGCTGCCGCGCCGCTGGAGTCCAATTTCTGTTCTCATCCTGAAGCAAAGTTCTTAACCTGAAGCACTATTTCTGGGTTAGTGGAGGCTGTAACCTGAAGCGTATGTAACCCGAGGTACCACTGTACTTGCAAAACTGGCATAATGTCATCACTATTTTTCTCCTCCCCCGCACCCCACCTTGCTTGATTTAAAGTTACAGAGAAACTTAATGTATTCAGGGTTGTGTCCAGGAAAGTTGTCCCTTGCCCAGTGCCCAGAATTACCTGTGCAACAAGACTTCTCTCTCTCTCCTCTCTTCACATGCCCCCCGCATTTCCACTTCATCTGCTCCAGAGGACTCTCCCACCCCAGATTGGGGTAAGAGGCAGAGAGAGAGAGAGGGAGGGAGAGTCTTATAGTCCATGCACTAATGGGAAGACTTCATTGAGTTCAACCCCATATGTTTACATTATTTTGGAGATGATTCCTCAAGTGGCTACTCTAGCAACTTTCTTTACAGTTTCTGGAAACTTTACAGTATAAAGGAATTTATTTATTTATTTATTTATTCATTCATTCATTCATTCATTCATTTTAGGCATTGGCCTATTTTGAACAGCTGAAGATCTCTCCAGATGCTTGGCAAGTGTGTGCTGAAGCTTTAGCCCAAAGAATCTACAGGTAGATAATAAATAGTTTTGTTTTTTACATTTAATCTGAGAATGTTCTGAAGTTATATCACCTTGACATAAGATTTATTTTTTATTTTTTTGATGATTCACATGTCTCTGTTTAAAGAACCAAGCAATTTCAGGGAGGTCACTAGACCAGATGAATTTGATGGGTGGCTTGTTGCTCCAGCTTAACGACTAGAGCTAGACCCACCACAAAATATGCACAGCTGGTAGCTAACAGCAGAACTATCAGGTATCAGCTTCCAGTTTCCACATGCCCAGCTCCCCTAGACTTCATACAACTTGCAGCTCTCTAAAAAGGAATGATTTTGTGAGTGAAAGCGCAGGTGCTCAGGATGCTAAATACTGAATTTTAGGTTTGTTCAGTGTAGCCCTAGAATACACAGCCCACTGAAACTGGAATCACTATGTCCCCACCCCAAGGGTTTGGTTTTCTGCCATGATACCAAATGGAATCTACCCACAAAACCTTGGTGCTTGTATCCAGTTTTCAGAATGCACTTTTCACGCCGGGTGACTATTACATACATTGTTTGATTGTGCATTGATTGTACCGTTCTTCTTTGTTTCAGCGATGATCACATCAAGTTCTTCTGCTTTCAAGTCCTGGAACATCAAATTAAATACAAGTGAGGCGGCATCTTTACATTTATAGAATTGCAGCAAACGGAAAGTAAATGTAGAGAAATTATAACTGCTTGCGTTTCTAGTAGTTCATGTGTCTCATTTATTTTCTTCCTTGAATATTGAAACCCCCGATTTAATGCATTTATTTCACTCTCAGTTGTCTAATTTAGCTGCACTGAAACAGCCAAAGGTTCACTCTGTGCCATCCAAAGGGCTACTGAGGTTTTGTGCTGGACGGTTTGATGAAAAACCTTTGGGGCTCCCTGACAATTGGGGTGGTTCCTGATGCCTGCATATTTTCCTGGAGGGTGTATATTAATCCTTGTGTGGTTTCTTAGCGCATGGTACATCCCACTAACTGAACATCAGCCAGCACACAACAGCTACGGCACAGATGATGCTGATGGGCTGCAGGTTCCAGGGTTTAAAATATACATATGCAAGTTGAATGTTGTTTTGTCCTGTGTTTCAGGTATTCCCAGTTGACTGAGGTACAACATCAGCTAATTAGGGAAACACTCATAGCATGGCTACAGGCCCAGGTAGGTTTCTTCACAATTTGGCTATTAATATTGTATGCAAATATCTGCTTGCTGCTGTTCCCAAAAATTTTCCAATATATTCTTGCATATTTTGAACCTACCGCATCTTGAAATGTTACTATAAAATGCTGGTTTCTTTCAGATGGTGAATTCTCAATCGGAGAAAACATTTATACGGAACAAAGCTGCGCAAGTCTTCGCGTTGCTGTTTGTCACTGAATATCTCACGAAATGGCCCAAGTTTTTCTTTGATATCCTGTCTGTGGTGGGTCTCAATCCTCGAGGTGTGGACTTGTACCTTCGAATCCTTATGGCAGTCGATGCCGAATTGGTCGATAGGGATGTTGTTCATACATCAGAGGTAAGTTCCCTTCTTACAATTCAAATGCACCCTGTTCTGTAAGTCCTCTTTTCCTAACTTGCCTTGCCTGTGAAAAGCATTTCTAAAAAAATGATTTCTGCTCTCATGGTGTTTTCTGTTCTGAAGTTTCTGTCTGCAGTTTAAGTAAACTCACAGTGCAATCTTACACATGTCTAGTCAGAATTAAGTCCTACTGAGTTCAATAGGACAGTCCCAGCTACTGCCTGACTCCTTTTGCTCCTCTTCAAACACAGAGGCCTTCTGATGAGACACTTTTGGTGGTCCCACATGCCCCTGAGGGCCAGCTGGCCTTTACCAGGGGCCAAGCCTTCAGTGTGGCAGGTCTTGTGGAATGCCTCGCCAATAGAGTTTTCAAGCAGAAGTCATGGCTGCTTGTTTTTAGACACCTTCTAAAAACCGTGTTATTTAGACAGACATTTCAAAGCAGAGATTCTTTGCCAGCCAGCTTTTCCACTTAACACTTTTTTAAAACAACCTTTTGGCATTCTTGCAGCCACTACCTCCATTTTTTGGTGTATAAGAAAGCAGTGAGGGTGTTACCCCCAAAGTTGGCATTTGATATTCCTTTTTAAAATCTTAAATGTTAGTGTCTAGACTGGCACCAGCATTTTCCCTTCCAAGACTGACAAACTTCTTACATTTACAGGAAGCCCGCCGAAATACCTTATTAAAAGATGCTATGAGGGAGCAATGCATTCCAAGTTTGGTGGAATCATGGTACCAAATTTTACAAACGTATCAGTACACAAATTCAGAGTTGACGTGTCAGTGCCTTGAAGTAGTTGGAGCTTACGTCTCTTGGATAGAATTGAGCCTGATCGCCAATGAAAGGTAACATTTCTTTTGAATTGGGAACGCACAGACTAAACTCAATTTCTTAAATAAAATTTGGTTTGAAAAAACCAAACACAATTCCAGAAGCAACAGTCTTGAAGTTCTTTGGGCATTATAGCTGGGTTATATTATTTCCTGTCCAAAACAAGCAATAGCAAATTGGTAAATATAACTCAGATGTTTGCATCTACCGAGTAAAACTTTTGTGTATCCCTTTTAGATTTATAAACATGCTGCTAGGTCACATGTCTGTAGAGGTTCTACGGGAAGAAGCGTGTGACTGCTTGTTTGAAATTGTAAATAAAGGAATGGACCCAATTGATAAAACGAAACTGGTGGAGACGTTGTGTCAAGTGTTACAGTCGGCTGGCCTCTTCAGTGTTGACCAGGTGAGTTGCCTTCTGTAAAGAGAGAGAAAAAGCTTGTGTTGATAGGCCTGTGTTGTGATAGCGTCGGCAGCTGCTGTGTGCATAAGAAATAGGTAACATATATTTCTTTGCCAATGCCATCAGAAGTTTAGTATGCTGCTGGTGGTTCTTCCCCTTATGCCAGTATAATTTGCTTCTCTTCCCTCCCATCCCAAACTCTTATTTCTGTCTTGTTTCTGAACTGATTCTCACCACCCCAGTCGCACCTAGTCCTACTCATGTAGAGACTGGCAATTATATCTGATGCTAGTCATATAAATATGCTAGCAAATGTGCACAGAGGGTGAGACAGAAAGTCCTACTGGGTTGGTAGTTTCAGGGCTTCTGTGCAAACTGTGTTAAGTTGCTTGCATCATTAGCTGAGCTCCAGCTGCTGCAGGGCTCAATAGGATGCTTCCATCTGGCAGGAACATAAGGAAAGCCCTGCTAGACAAGACCAAAGGCCTCCTTAGCATCCTGTTTCCCACAGCAGCCACCAAGATGTCTATGGTAGGTCCACAAGCAGGAAGTGAGGACAATAGTCTCCTGCCATCGCTCCCCGGCAAGTGATATGTAGGGATATTCTGCCTCTGATCCTCAGGAAACATGTTTGGCATTTTCTGATACCTTCCCTGCACATAATTGCTCAGAAATCCCACTAAGCTCAATGGAGCTTGCTCTCTAGAAGTGTGTTTAGGATTGCAGCATAAGTAAATATAATAAATGCAATTATAAGTCTATCATAACCGTATCCATGTGTATGCCATTTTGGTCGATGTAATTAGAGGTTCAGGTAGATCAGTTGCTTTGGTGACATAAACTAAAATTTTAATAATAATTTGATTAACCAACTTGACAGGAAGAAGATGTGGACTTTCTAGCCAGGTTCTCCAAACTGGTGAATGGGATGGGACAAGCACTGATAGCTAGTTGGACTAAACTTGTGAAAATTGGAGATATGAAGAATGCCCAGGATACTCTGCAAGCTATTGAAGCAAAAGTGGCCCTAATGTTGCAGCTTCTGGTTCATGAGGATGATGATATTTCTTCTAATATTATTGGGTTTTGTTACGACTATCTGCATATACTGAAGCAGGTAAATTGCTCTTCTTGCATGAAGGCTAACAGTAGAGCTTCATTTTGAAGGAGATGCAGCCTGGTGAAATCTTGTTCTCTGAAATATCTGATTTAAAAAAACCCAAACAGATCTCTATGCTTTGTTTCTGAAACCAATGACCAGTGTTAATATGCAGAAACGGCTTCAGTCCAGTATACCTGAAGGAGCGTCTCCACCCCCATTGTTCAGCCCGGAAACTGAGGTCCAGTGCTGAGGGCCTTGTGGCGGTTCCCTGACTCCGAGAAGTGAAGTTACACGGAACCAGGCAGGGGGGCTTCTCGGTTGTGGCACCCGCCCTGTGGAACGCCCTCCCACTAGATGTCAAGGAAATAACTACCAGATTTTTAGAAGACATCTGAAGGCAGCCCTGTTTAGGGAAGCTTTTAATATCTGAAGGACTATTGTATTTAAGTATTTTGTTGGAAGCCGCCCAAAGTAGTAGTAGTAGTAGTAGTAGTAGTTGTTGTTGTTGTTGTTGTTATGATTAATAAATAGCTTGAGACACTTCAAAAGTAAAGTTTGTTTTTTTTGTGTGTGTTTTTTTGCAGCTTCCTATGCTTTCAGAACAGCAAAAAGCTAATGTAGAGGTAAGAGTGATTAAAATATTCCCCCCCCCCCCCCAGCTTATAACTGAAAAGAAAGATCTCTTCTGTCCTCTATCCCCCAAAACCTCATTATGACTAAAATGTATTGGGCTCTATTCAGTGACGTCATCCTGTTGCTGCAAGGACTTGTGCCTGCACAACAGCACCTCCTCTCCTCACCATGCTCCTTGTATCCCTCTATATTTCTGTTCTGGACGTTCCCCATACCCTGTGAAGCAGATTTTGGAGAGAGTAGACAGGGAGAGGAAGTTTTGTTGCATAGGTGGAAGGAAGTCCTTGCATTAATGGGATTGCTTTGTTGGACACAACCCTTTGAATTGACTTCTTTGCTTTTTAAAAGAGATGATGCAATGCATACTTCTTCTTTTTTTAAGTCGAGAGTTTGATGCTAGCTGATCAACTGTTTTCCATTACTACAGGCAATTATGTTGGCTGTTATGAAGAAACTAACCTACGATGAAGAATACAACTTTGAAAATGAGGTTAGCTGTCACATTTGGCAGGTTTTAGCTTTTCATGGTTTAGCTTTTCGAGAAGTGGTTCAGTAATGTCTTGGTAACTCTTGAGGAATTGTTTTAGTATTCAAATACGTGCCAATGTAAACATTCCATATAGGACAGGGAGAAGGGGACACTTTAGTTTCTAGGGACCACAGCGCCAAGCAGCAAACATGGACGTGTGTTCTTAAATGCATGTGTTTGAAGCTCTCTGCATGCGTCCTCATCTACATGTGAAGCAGAAATCTTATTTTTATCAAACCCTGGTAGAAATGAGGAGTGGGTGAGCTTTTTGTTCTTCTCCTCCTTGTGTCAGGCAGGCATAAGAAGCCAAAGCAGTGAGGAAGGGCCTTTGTCCATTCTAAGGCATAGCTCTTTTCTTGTACAAATGCCTTCTTGAGTAGATTCAGTTGAAGTGAAACTCCTACCTTTATGGAGCCACAAATTCCCCTAATGCTATGCTAACCCCCTGAAGAAACTTGAGGATAAACAGCTACTGCCCATTTCCTTTCTTTATGTTGAGAAGGCCCATCCAGTTTGGTGGTCTTCATAAAGACCAAAAGCAGTGTGAAACCAAATAAGGGCTCTTTGGATTTTGCAGTGGGGCGATGGTTCAAAGACTTAACTTCTGGTTAGTTTCCATGTGACCACTTGACGGTGGTGTGTGCAGCTTGACAAAAGTACTAACTCAACTCTTGCAAACTTCCATGATTCGGAATGAATGACTCTTGCCAGTGTGAGAGAATATTATCACAAGTTAGTTAGCTAAACACTTCATTGTTACACAAAGAAATTTTACGTCCCTGCAGTCAAAAAGATCAGACGTATGTTTGTGTTTTATCTGTTCTTATTTCAAAGAATAAAAAGTAACACCTTTGGTCCTGTTCATGGCAATACACACGTTGACAGGGTGAAGATGAAGCAATGTTTGTAGAATATCGGAAGCAACTTAAGCTGTTGTTGGACAGACTTGCACAGGTTTCGCCTGAATTACTCCTGGTTTCCGTACGGAGGGTTTTTAACACTACATTGCAGTAAGTTTTGTGTTAGCTTTGTTAAGTTTTTCTCTAGTCCATCCTGGTCATTTGTTGCTTTTTTTTTTAAGCATCAAAAATTTATGTTGACATTTAAGAACCCCAGAGATTACTTGTCTCGTCCACATTAAATGATACAGAGAAAATACTTGAATCTTTGTATGCTCCTTTGGAGCTTCTAGTCTCTGGTATCCAATATAATCTTATTAACACCTGGTAAGTCAGGATTCATTCGTTGGTGCTTAATTTGGCCATTGTGTTTCTATCAGTCTGTTCCAATCTGTGTGGGACGAATAAGTCATTCACTATAAGATTGATTGTAGCTATTTTGGGTTCTTTTTAAATGTGTGTGTGTGTGTGTGTGTGTGTGTGTGTGTGTGTGTGTGTATGCATGCATATGCCTTACTTGGGCCTATTCTATTCTGTTTTATAGGAATTGGCAAACTAAGCCGTTTATGGAAGTGGAAGTCGCAATCAGGCTGCTGTATATGCTGGCTGAAGCTCTTCCAGTATCTCACGGGGCTCACTTTTCAGGTGATACAAAAGCCGGGGCTTTGCAGGACATGATGCGGACTGTAAGTACAAAACGAACTCAAGACAGTTTTCCTTTTGAGCAAGCCTTTCTTCAGTCAAGGTGAATCATCCTTTTCTCCCTCTTGCAGCTGGTTACATCGGGTATTAGCACCTATCAGCATACATCAGTAACCCTGGAATTCTTTGAGACTGTGGTCAGATATGAAAAGTTTTTCTCCATTGAACCTCAGCACATTCCAAATGTTTTAGTAAGTCCATAGTAATTGCTTCCTTTTCTTTTTTTAATGTGCGTTGGTTATCAGTAACGCTTCTACACCCCTTCCCCCTCCAGACAGTTTTTTGTAAAAGGAGTTTGGGAAACGGTTTTACCTCTTTTCCCAATTTATTACCCTTTTCCATCATGCAGTGTGGCTTAAAGCGATCAAACTCTTCCCGTCTTTAATTGCAGATGGCCTTCTTGGATCACAGAGGTCTTCGCCATAGTAATCCAAAAGTGCGAAGCAGAGCAGCTTATCTTTTCTCCAGATTTGTCAAATCCCTCAAGTAAGTTGCTTGAAACCTAGAGACTTAATGGGAATATTTTCAGAAATAAAAGAGCTATTTCCCCTCCCCCCAGGAAAATGAAGCTGCATAAGCATCATTCTTTACAGTGGTGCCTCGGTTTAAGAACAGTCCGGTTTAAGAACGATTTGGTTTACAAACTTTGCAAAACTGGAAATAGTGTCTTGATTTGAGAACTTTACCTCGGTCTAAGAATGGAATCCAAATGGTGGAAGGGCACCGGCGGCCGGAGGCCTCATTAAGGAAAGCGCGCCTCGGTTTAAGAACAGTTTTGGTTTAAGAATGGACTTTCAGAACAGATTAAATTCATAAACCTCGGTACCACTGTATTTGCAAACCACTTTTCCATGGCCAGCCATGCTCAAGGCAGCTCACAACATCAAAAAGTTTACATAAAGATAATTCACTAGCAACGCCAAGGCGCAACAGAATATAAATAGTCATAATAAGCTTGGCACTTTGGGCAGAGTCTGGAGGACACTACAGAAGGATCTTTTCTAAACAAAAATAGAAGTGAGGTTTACTGATCTGAAAATTTGAGTCTGGAGACTTATGGAAAAGTTCAGTAATTAACCCACCTCTTCTAAATCAGTTCACTGTTACTCCAGGACATCAAAATTCTGGTAATGTGTTTTCCGTAAATGTGTTTCTATTAGGTTACAAATTTAATTCTAAATAAACAAATTAAGCGTTTTTGGCTTAAGATTGCATTTACTGGTGAACAACTCATTCCAATAAATAGAGAAGATTAGGGTACTTATTTTTTCCCTTTGTACTCTCGCAGTACAAGATGTTATAACTTCTAAATTGATACTTTGAAAAATACTGTTCAACTGTCACAATTCAACACATCCATTACTGTAAAATGTTTGTAAGCATAGTCCACTCCTATGTTTCAGCAAACAAATGAACCCTTTTATTGAAGATGTGCTGAACAGAATACAAGATCTGCTAGAACTTTCTCCACCTGTAAGTATTTCCTTTTGTCTTGAATGAAAAGGGCAAAGAGGCTGGGCCCATAACAGCGAGGAGGAAGGCAGGACAACATTATACATTCTGAATTGCTGTCGATATATAGGAGATGATGCAAATGTACACATGTTGCTTGCATGATTATTAGGTCATGTTGCATATAGTCTGCAACTTACCAATGTATGCCTTGTTTGGGTTGTTCTTTAAATGATCTTGGCATGTGGCAAGTGCCGTATCTCATCTTAAGCGTGGGCTAGTGGTCTTGGACTGGCCGGATGCTTTCTTCAAATTCCCATTTGACCACAAGGCTTACTAGGTAATCTGGGGCTTGTCGTTATTTCCCAGCCTTCAGAGGTTGTAAACATAAAGGAAGGGTGGTATTGATGATGTTTACTGCCCGAAGCTTTTTAGAGGAGAAATGGCAGGATAAAAACCTAAGTCGGAAGCTTCCTGGAGCACTCCATAGATACAATGTCAGATTATAGACTGGGTGTTATGGCTGTTCATGACCCGGGTTTCTAGAACCCTGGAGCTGCTTAAACCTTCTGAGCCATCCTTTGTTTTCCAATACCCTTCTTATCATATAGCATAGTACTACCTATGGAGTAGCGGGTGGCGCTGTGGGTTAAACCACAGAGCCTAGGACTTGCCGATCAGAAGGTCGGCAGTTTGAATCCCCGCCACGGGGTGAGCTCCCGTTGCTCGGTCCCTGTTCCTGCCAGCCTAGCAGTTCGAAAGCACGTCAAAGTGCAAGTAGATAAATAGGTACCACTCTGGCGGGAACATAAACGGCATTTCCGTGCGCTGCTCTGGTTCGCCGGAAGTGGCTTAGTCATTCTGGCCACATGACCTGGAAGCTGTACGCTGGCTCCCTTGGCCGATAAAGTGAGATGAGCGCCGCAACCCCAGAGTCGGTCATGACTGGACCTAATGGTCAGGGGTCCCTTTACCTTTTTACCTATGGAGACTATTTCCCCACCTCCATTTTCCCAGGTTTTTTGCGCCCCCCCCCCCCCGCCTTCACATCTCTAACTGTTTTGAGACAGATTCCCTAAATAGGGTACAATGTGCATTATTCAACTAACATGCAGAGATTTCCATTTGTGCAGTGGGACCTCTCCCATTCCCTCCCGTTAGGCATACCCCATGCCTTCCCCAAATCTGCTCCAGAAAGTTGGGGGAACCCCTAGAACAGATTTTTTTTTGGGGGGGGGGGAGTCCAATTGTGCAAGTGGAAATTCTTGCGCTGATGGGAATCATTACTCAGCACTATTTTATGTGCAATTCATGGACCTGACCAGCTAAACAATTGTTTCTTCATTTAACAAGAAGTCCTTCAGAATGTAAATCTCTCATTGGTTCCTGGACCCATTTAGTATCTCTTACATTGGGAACTTCCAGTGCAGACCAGAGTGAATGTTGCATTGCAGACCCATAGACAGTCCCATAGGCGTTTGAGACTTTTGAGATCAACTTCACATTGTTGTGGCATGCAAAGTAGGTGGAATATACTATCAGAAGTGATTTATTTACAAATAAGTAGCATCCATAGTGGTAACTCAGCCTCATGAAAGATTTGAGCAGTTTGGGGTAAGGTAGCGTGGAGTGTTGCTGTACAAATAGGTTGTTTTGTGTGTGTGTGTTCTTTTAAGCTATTCTAGATTTCTGCAAGTAGAATTTAACAGGAAATATCTGAACATAAAGCTCTCCTTTGTTTTCTGGTTCCAGGAAAATGGCTACCAGGCTTTTTTAAGCAGTGATGACCAACTGTTCATTTATGAGACTGCTGGAGTACTAATAGTGAACAGTGACTACTCTGCAGAACGGAAGCAGGCTTTAATGAGAAATCTTTTGACTCCTCTAATGGAGAAGTTTAAAGTGCTGTTAGAAAAACTTATGATGGCACAAGATGAGGATAGACAAATGGCATTAGCTGATTGTCTGAATCATGCTGTTGGCTTTGCAAGGTGGGAACAATATATAGTTTATTCAACATGCATACAGAGGTATAAGTTTAAAGAAGAGGTTTGCGGACGGCTGTTTGCAAACTCCAATGTTAGCAGAGGTTCACATGTTTGCTAAAGTCTTAAGCTTGTGGGATGGGTTCCCCCTCCTGATATTGCTTAATTTCCTACCCTGTTATGGGAATAAAGCTTGGGAATCTGATTTGGTGGTGGAAGGAAGTCTCTTAAAAGTACATCCCTCTGTGACTAGAAATACTGAGACCTACAAAAATAAAAAGGCCTTGTGGAAACTGAATTCTGTTGCTCCCAAATCTGGAAAAAAAGACATGACTAAATGTGTTGTTAATAAATATTTATCTATCAGTGCCTTCGAATAGTGTAGGATGTAGCCCAAAGAGCCTATTGGGCATAGATTTACAAAATTTCTTCAGAAAAGTCCCTGTAAATTCAAAGTGCAATTAAGTGTGACCTTAACTAAAACATGGCAACGATGATAAAAATGTTTTAGCTGTTGCATCAGATTTGCTTTTAGTACTGGTCTGATTTGAGAATAGCATAGCTGAAATATTTTTAAATGGCTCAACCTAAGGATCTGCCTGCTTGTGTATGGCAAAAACCTTGACTTCTTCTTCTTTTGCACAGCCGTACAAGCAAAGCTTTCAGCAACAAGCAGACAGTAAAGCAATGTGGCTGCTCGGAAGTGTATCTGGACTGCCTGCAAACCTTTTTACCGGCTCTCAGCTGCCCCTTGCAGAAGGAAGTTCTCCGAAGCGGTGTCCGCACCTTCCTTCACCGAATGATTATTTGCTTAGAGGAGGAAGTTCTTCCGTTTATCCCGTCAGCCTCTGAACATATGCTCAAGGATTGTGAGGCAAAAGACCTTCAAGAGTTCATCCCTCTCATAAACCAGATCACAGCTAAGTTCAAGGTAGGCATCTCCCTCAGTGTAAAAGGCGAGGAACTAAACTAAGTGTCTCTTGAGCCGGCCTATGAAGTGAGATCATCACCGGAGGCATTGCTCTGAGTGTTCTTACCATTTGAAGTTAGGTGGATGGTGGCAGTCAGAAGGGCCTTCTTGGTGATGGTGCCCCAATTGTGGAATGCCTGGCACCTACTTCAGTGTGTTTTCTGTGCCAAATACCCTTTTTTTTGTTTTTCCAGACCCTTAACAAATTTTATCGGTCTAGCACCTGAATTTATCATTCATTTAGTGTCATTTGTTTTTTACCTGTCAGTTGTATTTGCAAGCTGCCCTGGAAATATTTTGTATTGATGGGCAGCAGTTACCTTTTAGAAACAAGACATTTGAAAAGATACCTTCCGAAGCAGGATGTCTAATTGCAGAAAAGCCTGTTTTTCTTTTCTTTTCTTTTTAATCCCTCTGTTAGAAAGTGGATTTTTTGGAAAAGGAATTTGAAAAAGAGACTGTATTCAAGTGAGGGTATTCAAGTGTTAGTGGTAGATGCAGAATTCTAATATAATAGCTACAGTCAGGGATGCTGTGCAGTTGAGCCTTCAACATTTTAAAAAACCTTGCTTCCTTCTTATAATGAGATTCTCTCCCTTGCTTGTGCAAACTGTAATTTGCTCCAAAATAGGGGACTGAAGCCCATTTCAGATCATATTTTAGTCCCCAGGTTGTGGGCAAACCATACATTACTCAGTTTGGTTTCAACAGCAAGCTATGAATTTAGTCAAACCAAGGGAAGGAAAGAGATGGGGTTCTCAACGGACCAGCCCAATGGGTTGGCTGCAGTTAATTCTCTGTAAAACAGGAGTAGATCTGCATCATCCAATTAATTGCATGGTTCAAAGGGAAGGAATGTAAAGCAGTTTCCATAGGCTTTTCAACACTATTTTTAATATAATGCCTTGTGAACATAAAGCAATAAATTATCTTGTGTGGCTTGTTTGGCTGGCTGAAAGTGCCATTCCACATGGGTAATTATAACTAAATTAACTAACTTAAAACTAAGACTTGAGAATCGTTTGGCCATCATCATGGTGTCATCCAAAATAGCACTCTGTGTACTGCAGAAATCCATTCAAGCCCCAAATGTCTTTTATGTGAAAGCGCAGTTTTTGTATTTCAACTCCAGGAATCCCTGCTAAAAAGGCAGAGGAAGTTCTTAATGTAGATGCTCTCTGTTATCACAAAATTTGGATTTATCTTGGGAAGTTTGCATTGATCTAATAAGTTTGAGTTGAGAGAAATAAGCAATGTTAATCATTGTACATTTAGATATATAGACTTACCGTTAGAACTTTGTATCTTTAATATGGAAGTATAATAAACTAAAGACAAGTTGCTTGCCTTTTTGTTTATGGTATGTTTTGCTCTTGCTCATCCATAAATTTAATTTTGTCAACTTATATATTCCCTGTCCCAATAGAACCAGGTCTCCCCATTTCTCCAACAAATGTTTATGCCTCTGCTGCGTGCTATTTTTGAAGTCCTGCACCGCCCAGCTGAAGAAAATGACCAATCCGCTTCATTAGAAAAGCAGATGTTACGAAGAAGTTACTTTGCCTTTTTGCAAACCGTCACTGGTAGTGGAATGAGCGAAGTCATAGCCAATCAGGGTAAGGCATGGCTCATGATGGGAGACTGGTTTCGTAGCCATATAATTCTTCTAGTATGGAAGTGTTGGTTCTTTAGCAGTGAAAGAACTGTGTAGTTCAGAAGTTCAGTTCTAGAATGTTCTTAAAGTGCTTTGCTTAGATAAAATGCATATGGGTTGTATCTAACCAAGTCCATTTATTTCAGTAGATCTTTTCTGAGTACACCTTAGGTCAGCTATAACCCTGTACAATTATTATGTGTGTCTTCCTTGGAGGGGAAATGCCTTGTAACACATGATTTATATATGGAAAACAAATTGGCCAGCTTCGCACTTTGCTCTTGACAGACCAGAACAATTTGTTATTTATTGCCACTTCATTGGTTTGAATAAGATTTAATTGAGATTTCCTTCCTCTAGGTGCAGAGAATGTAGAACATGTGTTGTTCACCATCATCCAAGGAGCAGTTGATTACCCAGATCCTATTTCTCAGAAGACATGCTTTATTATTCTTTCCAAATTAGTGGAACTCTGGGGTAAGGTTGCCTTCATACCATAATGGCTTAAGTTTGATACCCACAAAAAAACGATTTTCAGTTTTTTGTGTTCCGCCTTCAAATGTTGCCGTAGTCACTGTGGGGATGTGTCCTTTTCTTCATACTGTGTGGTGCTTACCCTTGATGATGAGAACCAGAGAAAAGTCTGAATATTCTTGTTTGGCTTTTTTAGGAGGCAAAGATGGACCTGTGGGTTTTGCTGACTTTGTCTACAAACACATTGTTCCTGCATGTTTCTTAGCACCTTTAAAGCAAACCTTTGACTTAGCAGATGCACAGACAGTATTGGTATGTATTCCGAAGCCTGACAACATTGGGAAGTGAATGGCTAAATGTCCTGTAGGCACACCAAATTGGGCGGTGGGTGGCTCTCCTGAGGTCTTCTAAAATGCAGGAGCTCAGAGGAATCTGGAAAGCCTGTTCACAGAATATGGAAACCTTTGGGGCTTTTAAAAAGAACTCCTATACATAAGAGGCAGTTGGAGCCATGTGGCTTCTTGGTAAATCATGTCTCCATGGCTGATACCCTGAATGCCGACATACACAAGTAGTAGAATTCAGGGCCTCTGCTGGGTTCAGTCTGCCAAATGTAGATTGTTTAGAGCTCCTGATAAACTCCACAAGAGAATTCAGCAATCCTGAAATCTGGCAGCAGATTCCATCTGGCTTAGAATGCTGGCATCGGTAGAAATAGTTAGCCACTCTAGTAAGCTTAATGCTCTCTTGAAGAATGTGCAAAGCTCTGGCTTTATTTTGAAGCCTTTCTGCTGCTAACAAAGGTTACTTTTACAATGAACTATTAGCCCCAGAAAGTGTAAATGTAGCATGTAATTCAAACTACCGAAATTCCAATACTCAAATGTTTGTGCTGAAGTATTTTTGTTTTGTTTTTATAAGGCTTTATCCGAGTGTGCAGTGACACTAAAAACAATTCATCTCAAAAGGGTAAGGCTTTTGGAAATAGTGACTATTTTATTAATAGCCTTTTTTTACCTTGTCAAAAACACTATTTCAGTTCACAATTTGCAGGTTGTAGAAGGGAGGCTCTGTGGAGGGTGGATTTCCTGTTTTGCTTGTGTTTTCCCCCTAGTCTGTATTGGCTTGGTCATACTCCTGTATGAAATCCAGGAAGAAAATTCTGCAAGTAAACTTCCTGAATGTTGCTTTTAAAAATAAGTCACAGGAACAGGGTACTTGCACATTTCAGCTGAGTTTGCATTCCTTCTGGCTGCAAAAATACTGAGCCTCCTGATTAGTTAAAAATGTTTTGCCATTCTTGCAGCCTGTTTTTTTCAAAATGGTCATATGTCAGAGTTACGACAGTCTGTATATGCAAAGTGATCGGAGGGGTGTGGTGTTATCTAACATAGGAACTTACACAGTTACGTTTTTTTTTAATGTTTGCTTTTCTTTAGCCTGTGTGGTGCCTTTTTGAATGTAGAAGTGATACAGCCCCACTTCAGACAATCATATTTTGATTTAATAAGCTGAGATATGAACAAGCTTTTTGCCCTCACATGCAGCCCCTTTGCTCAAGCCATGCTTAAACTATGAAGTTTCTAATTAGCCATTGTTTCCTGTTTAATCTGAAATAGAAAACTATTGTTCCCAGCTTTGGAACAAGTCAGGATCTTAAATCAATTTGGTTTAAGATCCCCCTCTTCCAGTTTTTGGCTACACTGGCCAAAGCCAATCTATGATTTTATTAACTGGATAAAAACCTGTAATGTGGAACAGGTTCAAATGATAAAATACCTAACTGCAAAAACACTGCTTGGATGTTCCTTTTCGTAGGGCCTTGAATGTATTCAGTATCTCCAACAAGAATATCTACCTTCGCTGCAGGTAGCTCCTGAAATAATACAGGTAAAACTTATTATTTGGCTGATGCATAGGATTGGATCTAACAGGACTAGTGAAGGTTACATCCCATCTTCCTGGCAGCTCCACAGTTCCCCTGAGGGCGGTGGGATCCTGTTGAATGAGGTAGCATGCTAAGCTGAGGGGAAAGGTGGAGATCCCAAAAATCCTTGGAGCTAATCCAGTTCGGGTTTTCCTGTGGGTAACAACGTTTGTTATTTTCAAGCAAAACATACTGTAGTATGATTGCAAGTTATAGCAAGAGAGTTTGATGATTTTGCTGGAGCAGATTATTAATCTGGTGCTCAAGGCGCACAGCGCATCTAATAGTTGAGGTAAAAGCGCATGACTGTTCTTGTCATTAGTCTATTTATCCTAAACAGTAAGTGTCATTTACTTTCTAAAAGATGACTGAGAACTAACTTGTATCTGCAAGGTGGATTTTATATGCACTAGAGAAGATACTTCTGCACACAGATTGTCTTGCTATATGAGAACTGTGCTTGTAGAAGGTTTTGTGCAGGGAGAAACAAAGCCACCACCAGAATTTAAGGTTTCACAGAGATAACACAGTTATCCTTGTGGTGACAGAGAGATCATTGCATGCAGGAGCCCAAACACACATAGTCACCTGCTTCCTCACACACAGATCTATAGATAGATCCCATTTCTAAATGGTTACATTTTCATTAGGATTGGAAACAATTTCCAGGTACAATGGAAACAGTTTCCACATACAGCATTTTTATTGTTGAATCTTTCATTCTTCTTATTCTTATTTTGAAAGGAACACATTCGTAGTTGCTGAAAAAAATAACCATGTTACTTCAACACAACAGTGCAAACTATTTGCTCATTATTATGGTGCTTTTCTTGTTTTTCTTGTAGGAATTTTGTCAAGCACTTCAGCAGCCGGATGCTAAAGTTTTTAAAAATTACTTAAAGGTAGGTTAAATTTGCATCAGTATTCCATCTTTCACGGGTGAAGGCATTTTGTCATGGATTAAATAGGTCTTGCATGTATCTGCTTGCATTTACCATAAACTCTGAATTAAGGGCAGGGGCCTGCAGCCCTCCAGATGTTCTTCAGCTCCCATCTTCCCTGACCTTACTGGCTGGGGCTGGTGGGAGTCCCAACATCTGGGAGGCTATAGATTTTCCAAACTAGTATTAACTCTGAACAATACTGCTTGCTACAGGAAGCTATTATTATACCAACATAGAAACCACCTTCACGCGTTAATAATGTGAAGGGAATCCATGTAAGGGGAAATGAGCCACATCCTTGAACAGATCTGGGCTGAGGTTGTAGCTTTTCACCCCTTTCCATTTTACTCATCTTTTGAATATTTTAGGTGTGTGTTTTCAATTGATAGTTTTAATGTTTCTTTTCGCTCGGAGGTTTTCTTAGTCAAGCAGTATGTAAGTTTCATTAAATAACGTTTTAGGTGGCGTTGGTTGAATTACTAATTTCATATGCAGCTTACAGTATTTTATATGACTTTTCAATTTAACTATGGCCAAGATAGCTGTGTTGATGACTTGCCTTAAAAATAGCACGTGAAAAGTTGCTGAAGCATTTTATCAACTTATCTTGGAGGGTTGAAACCACCCTTAAGGCAAATAGCACACAATATAAGCATCGCATGTATTTCCTGTCCAGGTGGGAGACTCCATTGCCAACTTACTTACTGCTCTTCATGGTGTCTAAGAAATTAGTCCCATAAGCGGAAGCTTGCTCAAGGACTTCCACTAGCACAATGGGGCTTTCCTCCCCCCACATACCCTCAAAATGGTTCTGGGAGGTTGGGGGTATCTCCCAGTTCATGTGGGAATGAGGGGGGAGATGGCCTTGTCTGGCAAGCTGCAATACTTTCACATTTCTGTAGCGCTACGCTGAATTCCTCCCAGAGATTTGATAGTCTCTTTGTTAGCTGCAAATGGTCCCATTTAAACCTGATTTCTGCCACTGTCAATGTACTTTTATTCTTAGCTTAGTGGTACTGTTCTTCTGTGCTTTCTTCTTCTCTAAAACGATATTTACTTTCTTTTAAAAACAGGTATTCTTTCAAAGAGCAAAGCCCTAAGAGATCTACTGAAACCTTTGACTGTTTCCCCTAATCAGGATCTCCAGATATTAATTTGTATGAATGCAAACTCCTGTGCCATTCAGGCTGACTTTTTCTTTTGGAAGACATTGCTCTGTGCTTCAATCAGTATGTGTATTAGCCTTTTGGTGTAAAAGTGCAAATGAAATGCCCTACATTGTGTTGGTTGATGCACATGCGGCATATGGGCAACACGTCTTGCCTGCCTACTCAGAAACACTCTGATAATTGTGTGCTGTAATTAGTACAGCAAAAAGAAAAATCCTTTTTTATTTTGAAATTTAAAAAAATGTATAAATTCCTTCCAAGCCCATAGGAATGGTTATAAATTGTGTACATTTTTAAATACTGAGTAAGATATTTGCATATTAGAAATGAAATTCATTTGTTCATGCACGGTGATATAAAATAAAGCAATCAAACTTGGTTTTGTAGATAGATGTTTCATTGGAGCGGTCTTAATGCTGAAGTGTATGCTACAAAACAGTTATTAATGGATCAGATTTACAAGAAGATCTGGTTCTACATTTTTATACAGAAAAATAAATTTTATTCAATGAAATACACAAGTTCTCATGAGTCATTGGTTGTTTTCTTGGCATCTGTGGTTAAATAATGGAAGGCTGTGTCTGTGCTATACACACTACATAGAATGGTCTTTTCGGGGGGGGGTCTTAACCCTCCCCCCCAAAAATCATGACTGAGCAGATATTTGGTGGTGTTTACAAGTTTCTTGTACCCCTGGGGAAGTCTCAGTATAGGGCTCAATGGAGTTTTCTTCCATTATCCTTGACAATCCCTTGACCACACACAAGTATAGGCACTGCAGTGACTTCTAGGGGGAAGTGGTCTTGCTGAGATAGGTATATGATAAGCTATGGCTGGTGAACTGCACTGTGCCACATGCTTATCTCCATAAAATCCCATCTTGTGATTCTTAGAGGACAAACCACAGGATGAGTGTAGTAGTCCTCTCCCCCTTGAGTTGCCATCAAGATCTTCAGAGGCACACCATCTCTGATAACGGATGTACCATAATAGTCACCATGCCTAAAAGCCACGTCGTAATGTCGTAGTAGGTTATGGGTAGGCAAACTAAGGCCCGGGGGCCGGATCTGGCCCAATCACCTTCTAAATCCGGCCCGCAGATGGTACAGGAATCAGCGTGTTTTTACATGAGTAGAATGTGTCCTTTTATTTAAAATGCATCTCTGGGTTATTTGTGGGTCACAGGAATTCGTTCATATTTTTTCCCCAAAAATATGGTTCAGCACCCCACAAGGTCTAAGGGACAGTGGACTGGCCCCCTGCTGAAAAAGTTTGCTGACCCCTGTCAGTGATTACAAAATAAAGTTGTTATGGTCATCACACTTTTTGTATCTTCATCATTGAGCTGCCCTTTTGAGACCCGATCAGTAGTTAGCATTGAACTGAGATTCCAGTGTTTTGTATCTGCCCGTGTTTCAGAACTTTGAAACAGCAGGGACAAGTGCATTAATACACTCCAGCGCTAGGTTTAATTTCAGCACTATTTAAAAGGTTGGGCAAAAGATTCCTGCATTCCAGAGAGTTGGACAAGATGACCTTCGTGGTCCCTTCCAATTGTGTTGATTCTACATATTGCTTGCCTTTCCACAAAACAAGTCCGCAAGCTCATTCCACATGCACACAGATGCTGCCTGCCAAGTTTTCGTCAGGCAGGTGAATTTGCTGAAATCTACGATTGCCTTCTTCGAGAAGGGTAAATAGTTCTGTTCCCACTCATTTACTGGCAGTTTCTTTCATTTTAAAACAATTGGAAATGTTGTTTGGGGATGCCTGTCACTTGCATCCACCTGTATATCTGGTCTTTGCAAAACTTGCTCACAACATCTGCACTTTATGTCCTTCCACCCTGGCCAGCCCCTTGTATTCTTTAGGCACAATTCCGTTTTGAACTGTGCCCTGCAGTTTTCAAGCTATGGCAACTGCAGGCCTAACTTGCAGGCTTAGCCGTATAAGACAATGTTTTGGCAAGAACCCTGAGTTGTTATCTCCTGCCCTTAAGCCTCCAAGGAACTCAGCACGGCATCCGTGAGGCCTCCTTTTTCCTCACAACAGCCCTATGAGGTAGGTTAGGCTGAGAGCATAGGAGCCAACTCATAGGGGCCAAGATCCCTTCAGAAGAAGAAGAAAAGAGTTTGGACTTGATATCCCACCTTTCACTACCCTTTAAGGAGTCTCAAAGTGGCTAACATTCTCCTTCCCCTTCCTCCCCCATAACAAACACTCTGTGAGGTGTGTGTGGCTGAGAGACTTCAGAGAAGTGTGACTGGCCCAAGGTCACCCAGCAGCTGCATGTGGAGGAGCGGGGAAGCGAACCCGGTTCACCAGATTACGAGACTACCGCTCTTAACCTCTACACCACACTGGCTCTCTTCACTCCTCTCCCCCCCCCAAAAAAAATATTTGAGAGGGCTGGGGGGGGCACCAAGTGGATGGGCATTGCCATTCAAATGGTTTGTGTGCACCATGTCTTGTGATCGGTTGTGCAAAGGAAGAATGGATACAGAAACTTAATATGCAGAAATAGCGAAATTTACCGGAAGAATAAGAAATCAACAAAACGTTTTGTAAAAGAACGGAAACAGTTTACGTATTGAATATTTACAGATAAATTGTAAACAAGATAAAAACATTGGCAGGAACATTGTAATAACCTGCAGCTTCATAAGAGTACATATTTAAAGAAGATGAATAAATGAAGAAAATTATTTTGGATATGCAGAAGATATTAAAAATAAATGTAAGGAACCACAGAAAGAGGGGGAAGGAAGTCAAGTTTGGAAATGTCAAAATGATGGTAAAGCCAGTGAAATGTATAAAGAAATAAAAAATTTTTAAAAAGATTGGGCAGGGCTGCCCCTACCCCGTTTTTTGAATTGAAGTTGGCTGACCCCAGGATGCACCGCCGAGAGCCAACCTTTGTGCAAATGTCTCCGCCTCCCATTGAGCCCTTTGGGCCTGTCCTAGTTCCACGAAGGCTGCAGCAGGGGCTGGGCGCGCCTTACTCCCGAGTAAACCTGCTTCCTGCCTCGCCCGGCAGCAAGCAGGCAGGCAGGCAAGCGCGTGAGCCCCGGGACCTTCCCGCCTCGCCCGGGTCCTTTCGCACGGAGCTGCCCCGCCTCCGAAGCGTCAGGAAGCCGGAAGCAGGCGAGCCGGAGCCGGAGGAGGGAGGCTGCTCGGCGGGCCGCGCCGATTGCGAGGAGAGCGGGGCTGCTTCGGCCGGGGGCTGCTTCCCGCGCTCGCCGTCGGAAGGGGCCTGTGGAGGGGACCCAGGTGAGGCGGCGCGGGCCCCGGCGCGGGTGGAGGGGAGGGGCGCGCGCAGGGCAGAGGCGAAGCCGGCGGGGAACGTGGCTGCCTGGCTTTCGTTTTCGCCCAGGCGAGCGAGTGACGAGGCTTCGGCCAGCCTTTCTGCAGGCCCGACGGCAGCGGGGATTTCCCGGCACTGCCCTGCTCTGGTGCAACCCTCCGGAGAGGGGCGCTTCAAAACAGAGGCGACCCCACGCAACGCAGAGCGACCCGGGAGCCGGGTTCGAATCCTGAGCTGCCCGGCGTCTTTGCTCCTTTGCCTTCTAAACATTTCGCCCTCCGAGCTGCGCAGTCTTCTGGACGTGCCCAGCTAGGAGCGAGGCCCGATGTGTGCATATCTAAAAGATCCAGGAGCCAACATTTATAATTTTGCAGAATATTCGGACTATATGATATGTATTTGTATAATTTGGAATATTTAATGTGATTGGATTGGATTGTTAAAATGGAAAATAAAATAATATAAAAGATCCAGGAGCCTCTGTTGGGCATCTAGCCGGCCCTCCTTGACTATTCGGGGACTCAGTGGCACTGCTGCCACCTTCCTCTTGTTCGCCTCCACCCATCACCCCGCTGACATTTTCTTTAGATGGCAGGTGTTACATTGTAGCTCAATCGGTAGAGCATCAGACTCTTCATCTTAAGGCGGTGGGTTCGAGCCCCACGTTGGGCAAGAATTCTTCCTGCATCGCCGGGGGTTGGGCTAGATGACCCTTGGGACCCCTTCCAACTCTACAATTCCGTGATTCCTTCCTCCAGCTCTTAACCGAGCACCCCAGATACTGTCCTCCTGCCCCTCGTGACCTAGCACTTACTTACTAGGGTGTATTCACACAGATACACATTTATAACAGGATCGCTTGTGTGCAGCAGCATTCACCGTGGATCAATCACCAGAAAGGTTTTCTGCTTCCTGGAATGCAAACATAATATTTAGCAGTAGAGATCCCCCTGTGGGCTCAACTGTGAGGTGTGTGATTTGCATATTTCTAATTGGAGAGCTTGTGTACAGAGAAGCAGCTTTCTCTGATTGCGCATGGAAGCGGAAGTTTCCTGTTGCCCGAGTGCAATCATAACATTTTGGCAGTAAAGATCATTTATGGGCTCAGCTGTGGAGCATTGGGTGATTTGCAGATCTGTGGCCAGCGTTCCATAGTTCCATGACGGGTTTGTTGCCTTAGATTCAGCTTTCACCCTCTCCACAAATAGACTTAGGCCACTCAATGTTAACTTTTCTTTTGTATATCTTAATGAAATAATCTAGAAGCTGGTGTTGCTGCAGGACTCTTAACTCCCATTGTTCCAGATCATTGCCTGGCACTGATGAGAGTTGTTGTTGTTGTTTATTCAGCTTGTATACCAGCCTATACTTGCAGGCCTCAGGGTGGTTCACAATGTAAATTCGCAATATAAAATCACAAAACAGCTGGAGTGATGCAGTCCTGGCCCCCCATGTCAGGGGGCTGGTGTCAAAAGACTTAAATCCTGTTTTTCCTTACTTGAGAGTAAGCCCCATGTGAATTCACCTGGGGTTCAAAATAAATATGCATATAATTGTGCTGATAGGCTCGTTGGGTAGTCATGAGAATTAGCTAATGTTCCATGAAAAGGTAAATATGATGACTTTGCTTCATCAGCTGGCTACAGAATGGGGAAGGAAGAATAAGGCTGCGATAATGTACATATGTATGTATACATGCATGCATGTTTATGTGAAATTTCTTTCTCATCTTTCCTTCGAGGAGCTCAAGGTAATGCATATTGTGTGCTCACCAAGCCCCATTTTATCTTCCTTGTTGTGGGATAAATGAATGAAAATGAGTTTTATTCTTAAGGAAGGTATGGTGAGGATGGCCATGCCTGCCTTAAGACCGATTCTGTGAACAAAGAGGTTCAAGGGGGGGCCTCTTTGCAGAACTGTTTATCAGCGTGTTTTACTACCTGAGTTGTAAATATCATACAGATTTATAGTTCAGAGGTGAGCCGAGATAACAAGGAGAAATAGTAGATGATAGTTTAAGCACTAGTACGCATACTCAAATGCTTCATTAATATTATAAAACACACCCCTATTGTAAAAACCTGCTAATTTGAATGGACATAGGATATATGTTATTGTTGGGGATACCTGTTTTACATGTTCAGTTTAGGAGCAGACATGATGTAGGCGGATCGGGAAGCCTGTAAACTGCAATTTCTTAACCAATAGGAATCGTAGTAGGGATATTGAACGGTCTTAGGGTATAAATTATCTGTGATGTGAACTGGAATGTGCAATCCCCTCTTTCCAGCAGGAGCTGCTGGAGGGGGGGAGTTCTTTGCCCACAGTACTGTCGACCCACAATAAATCTGCTTATGTTTGATCGTGGTGTAGACTCCTTCTTTCAGAGAGAAATTTGAATCCCTCTGGGAAAGATCCCTGGGACAGATTTGTCCAACACTTGTGAGGTAGGCTAGGTTGGTAGATTGCAACTCGTCAGCTGGAAATTCTTTGAAGGAGAAAGTGTGCTTTGAAGGTACATTGTGTATTCAGCGATGGTCTGCTATTCTTAACTTCTATACCAAGCTGGATCTATGATGTCAAGGGGCACGCTTCTGAGCACATCTGCGTAGAATTTCACCATATAGATTGTAAAGTTCTTTGCAAGTGGGCAGTAGTATGGTGGTGATTATTTATAGTAACAATACGCTAACCCTTCTATTATGTCAACTTTGATGAAGAAGGAAGTGCATCTTGAAAATCGATAAAATACATTTTAAAAAGGAGGAGGAGGTGTATCATAATGAACCGCAATTGTTCCTAAGCTATTTCAAATTGAAGCCGCATAAGAAGGGGAAAAACCCTTTTTGGATTTATAAATCTCTGTAAATGCTTTTTTAAAAAGAAATCTGCAAGCTGCATTGCTAGAGACAAATGGTTGCAAGGACAAGGCCTGCCTGTCTCCAGCAGGAGATTGCATGCAAAGCTTTAGATCAAGAAAGGGCTGAAAAGTCTGTGGCCGCTTTTACAGGAGAATAGAAAGAGCAATCAATCAAAGTTCTACATGTTGCACCTCTTTTCCCTGTTGGAGTTTGGTAAATATATTGGGGCATGCTTGCAGAAAGAAATAGTCTTGTAAAACCTTTGGGCTGAAGCGATAAAGAAAACATAAGATTTATTACTCAGGGTAAATGTTAGCTCACACTTCAACTGACTTGAATTACGTAAATAAACTTGGAGGAGAACCATTAAGCTGCCTAAACAGAACATGTGGGGAGAAGCAAGCCAATCTACCCAAACATGGGTAGATTTTTTAATCTTATCTCAGGGGTCAGCAACCTTTTCCAGCCGTCGGCCGGTCTACTGTCCCTCAGACTGTGGGGGGGGGGCCGGACTATATTTTTTTTGGGGGAAATGAACGAATTCCTATGCCCCACAAATAACCCAGAGATGCATTTTAAATAAAAGGACACATTCTACTCACGTAAAACACGCTGATTCCCGGACCATCCACGGGCCAGATTGAGAAGGTGATTGGGCCGCATCTGGCCCCTGGGCCTTAGGTTGCCTACCCCTGACTTATCTCAATTGCTGATTCAGTGGTAACCATTCTTAAGACTTTCAGAGGCAGGCTGGGCTGTGACTGTTTGATTAGCTAGCTTCAGCTGCCAGAACCACTGCCCATTCTCTCGTCTGTTTCTTAATTCAGGGAGAAGGATCCATGTTGGAATTGCCTTGTCCCCATTCTCACTTTTGATAGGTTTCTGCAAGTGTTAAATCTCTATAAGCATCCCAGTCTGCTACTTGACACCTTGCAAATAATAAGTGTGCCACTCTTGGCGCATATAAGACAAAATGGGCAGAAAGCTGGAAAAGAAAATCAGAAGTGATAGAAATAAAAGGAGCACTAGCATGGAAGGCTAGTTGTGAATATATCACAGAAAATGAATTAAGCTGGTAAGAAAGCAGAAGAAAGGATCAGAATGGAGTTAATATGAATGTAGTCTTGCTTTGAATTTTACATGGGCAGTTACTTTTACAAGCTGATATTGTGAAGCAATATTGTGATAATGTTTTGGATTGTGGATCCCATTGGTAACATAATTTCCATGGTCACTTGTACAGTTGTATCATCTTTTTGCAGACTTTACACTTAAACGTGAACAACTTGACTAATTTTGAAAACAAGTATAGAAAATGATAAAAATGACTAAATTTGAAAACAAATGTAGAAAATGATAAAAATCCTATGGGGACTGAAAACAACGCATAGAGTTCTGTTATTGGCCTCCATTTTATTCTGCATCCATATTCAGAAGTCAGAAATAAACCTTTCAAACTCCATTTCCATTAATAGGTTTGAACTAGAATTACTTCATCCTGTGGTTTCCAGGATTTCAGTGAAAAGGAATTTCTGAAACTATTCAGGCTAATCTTCCTAGGGTACTTCCCTTAGGTTTTGAATAAAACATGAAACTTTTGTCTACTGTCACATGCACTGTGGCAATTAACTCCGGAGTATCTATTTCCCTATTCAGATCAAACAAGAATTGCCCAATCAGGAGCAAAAATGCAAAGCACTTCGAATTATCTCTGGCTTCTCTCGGACATTCTGGGACAAGGAGCTACTGCAAATGTTTTTCGTGGACGACACAAGGTTTGTATAGAGACGGAAGTTCTAGCTGTCTGCTGGAAAGGCTTTTATACGATCTTAAAGTAGTCTCTGTTGTCATTGTAAAATTAAATGGGATGGGTTTTTTTCTCTTATGAAATGAATATACAATGAGCAGTGCAAATTATTGGAAATACAGGAGGTATGACTAAGAGTGTCTAATTATAATACCCTTTTCCCATGTAACTGCTTGGCTCATGAAATATAAAATATTTATCATACTGTAGAGTATAAGAAAATCTTAGGGGAGATAACTGAAATCACATCCCTTCTTAATCTGAAGGTAAAGTGCTAGTTAGTAATTAGCAAGTTATTCACACTGGAACCTTTAGAAAATGACATTTATTTCCTTTTTTTGTTTGGGTATTGAAGTAACAGTGTTCAATCCAACATGGAATGGATTTTCTTTCCTCTGGAAGGGCCCCAAATCCTTCAGATTTTGGGGAATAGGGAAGGGAAATCCCATTCTGCAAGTAGAAATTTTATTCACTCATGTATGGACACCCTTGGATTCAACACATGCATTTTGAAGTTTTCTGTCATCTTTCATAGTTACCAAGTATTTAAAAACAAGCACAACCAAACTTCCTTTCCCCACTTCTCTCTCTTTTTCCCTTCCCACATGCCCCCCCCCCCAAATCTTCTCTGGGTTTTTGCCCAATCCTCCTGAGGAAAGGGGATGCGGGTGGTGCTGTGGGTTAAACCACAGAGCCTAGGACTTGCCAATCAGAAGGTTGGCGGTTCGAATCCCCGCAATGGGGTGAGCTCCCGTTGCTCGGTCCCTGCTCCTGCCAACCTAGCAGTTCGAAAGCATGTCAAGTACAAGTAGATAAATAGGTATCGCTCCGGCAGGAAGGTAAACGGCGTTTCCGTGCACTGCTCTGGTTCGCCAGAAGCGGCTTAGTCATGCTGGCCACATGACGCCAGCTCCCTTGGCCAATAAAGTGAGATGAGCGTCGCAACCCCAGAGTCGGTCACGACGGGACCTAATAGTCAGGGGTCCCTTTACCTTTACCTGAGGAAAGAGAGCAGAGGTTCCATTGTGGCCACAGAAATTGTTCCATGTGTGCCTTGAGTTTGTTGGATACAACTCAAAGTGTAAACCCCTCCCCACATTATTTTTAAAGCAAACTCACACCCATGTTTATTCAGAAGTAAATCCCACTGTGTTGAGGGTTTTTATTTTATTTTATTCATATGCATAGTATGTTTTTATAGTTTTGTAATGAATGCAGGAACAAGGTTTTTATTCCCTAGTCAGTTGTGTGAAATGCTTTTTCTTTCTTTTTTTAAATACTCTCTATTTGTTTTACAGAAAACAGGAGACTTGTATGCCGTAAAAGTGTTCAATAACTTTAGCTTCCTTCGTCCCGTGGATGTTCAGATGAGAGAGTTTGAAGTGTTGAAGAAATTGAATCACAAGAACATTGTCAAATTATTTGCCATAGAAGAAGAGGTATTTTTTAAAAACTCTATTGCTCTGGTAGCCTACTGAGCATTGTCTTATTATTTTATTTCGGGTTCCAGTGATCAGAATGCCTTTTCTTTGATTTGAGGTTCACCGGGACAGTGTATGATTTCTGATATGTTTTTGAACATTTATGAATGTGCCTTAGAACAGGTTGCATTGCAATATTGCATGTGATGCGTATAATTATGAAACACCTGTTTGATTTTTAATAATGGCCCTTCTTTTTTAAAAGTCTTTCCTTAACGACTGCATTCAGTACAGAATAGAATTGCTTTCAAATAATGCTTCCAAATAATGGTGTGGTAGACACACATAAAGGAATTCATCCTTGAAGCTTTCCTTCTTAAAATTGCTCGTCATTCCTAATATCTGATGGCAATAACTAACACCAGTTTCAGAAAAACTTCCAAGAAATGTGCATAGTATCATTTGCTTTCTAAGGGGAATCAAGTATATTCTGGGCAGCCGAAAAGACTGAACTTTTGAGTGGTGGAGAAAAGAACGGACAAAAATCCTTGTTAGCAGTTTTCCATTTCTTCTCTCTTTGATTTTTAAAGACCATAAGTTGTAAATTACATTGATTTTATCTCTGCTCAAGAGAATTTTATTTGCTTTTCTTTTTTAACCCATAGGAAAGGAACTTACATCTTTCTTCTTGACTAACTGGGGGTCTGGCTAAACTTTTTGGTAGTGAAGCTTTTTTGCTTTCTTTCTGGCACTGGGACTTGTTGCATGTTAACTTGCAAACCTTTCTTGTTTTTCTATTCTAGACAACATCTAGACATAAAGTCCTTGTTATGGAATTTTGCCCATGTGGCAGTTTATATACAGTTTTAGAAGAGCCAGCTAATGCCTACGGGTTGCCAGAAGCAGAATTCTTAATTGTATTGAGAGATGTTGGTAGGTGGAAATTGTTTCCTTATGTACTTTAATGTCACATATTGGGCTTACCGTATTTTTTGCTCTATAAGACGCACTTCCCCCTCCTAAAAAGTAAGGGGAAATGTGTGTGCGTCTTATGGAGCGAATGCAGGCGGGAGGCTCTGCTCAGCGCTCCCTTTAAAGAGCCGTGTGGAGCGTGTGTGCCGCTCTTGGGGACTTTTCCCCGAGGAGGGAGAAGGGCTGCCTTTCTCCCTCCTTGGGGAAAAGCCCCCAAGAGCCGCACACACGCTTCGCGTGCTCTTTAAAGGGAGCGCAGCTCTTGAGGGAGCCTTCCTCCTGCTGCCCGGGAGAGGCTGCGAGCGGCTATCCCATAAGCCAGGACAGCAAGAGGGATCTGGCTTCTGGGATTCAGATTTTTTTTTTCTTGTTTTCCTCCTCCAGAAACTATGTGTGTCTTATGGTCTGGTGCGTCTTATAGAGAGAAAAATACAGTGCTTTGTTTATGGCACTGTCTTCGAATGCTTAGCCTAGTTTGAACGTGTTTGCATGCAGATACGGAACCATAGGATGGATGCAATCTCATTTAAGTTTGGTTTTGACGCATGCAGGTGTACTAAGCTACACAGGGTTAACTTTTGCTGTTAAATGTACACATGCCACTCCCATCTACTAGACTGTGGAGTCGATAAGCTAACTGGAAGTGGTCCTCCAAGAGTGCTCACGATTCCTTCCGTTAAGGAAGGCTGGTGTGCCAGTCGCATTCCTTTTTGGAGAAAACAGACTGGACCACAGTGACACATATCTTAGTTACATCACGACTGGGCTACTGCAGTGCACTCTGCATGGAGCTATAGTAATAATAATAATAATAATAATAATAATAATAATACTTTATTATTTATACCCTGCCCATCTGGCTGGGTTTCCCCAGCCACTCTGGGCGGCTTCCAACAGAATATTAAAATACAATAGTCTATTAAACATTAAAAGCTTCCCTAAACAGGGCTGCCTTCAGATGTCTTCTAAAAGTCTGGTAGTTGTTCTTCTCTTTGACATCTGGTGGGAGGGCGTTCCACAGGGCGGGTGCCACTACCGAGAAGGCCCTCTGCCTGGTTCCCTGTAACCTCACTTCTCGCAGTGAGGGAACCACCAGAAGAACCTTGGAGCTGGACCTCAGTGTCTGGGCAGAACGATGGGGGTGGAGACGCTCCTTCAGGTATACTGGACCAAGGCCGTTTAGGGCTTTAAAGGTCAGCACCAACACTTTGAATTGTGCTCGGAAACGTACTTTTGATCCATGTTTGGAATCTAAAGCTGGTCCAAATGGGGCAGTTAGAACATTGACTATAGAACCAGCTATCAGGATCCTGCTATTCAATTGGTGCATTTGTTTCATTGACTTTTGGTCTGATTCTATGCCTTATTCAAAGTTGCTGGTTATCACCTTGGAAGCCCTAAGCGGGACTCCTTCCATTCATGCTGTGATGCAGCAGAAGCTCTCACTGGAGAGAAGGAGTAGGGTGATATTTTTTGCTAATTTCTCTTTGCCCATGTGCCACACCGCATGCTGTTCCCGAGCTTTCCCCGACCTTACGGGGCAGATTTCCAACGGACTGCAGGGCAAAGGTGGGAAGGGAATCAGTAGAAATCACTCTCTCCTCCCTTGCTGCTTCTGGGAAGCGAATGCTGAAAGTGGAACTCTGTTCAGTGGAACGCTCCTTTCAGTGGAAACTCATTTAGAATTTCAGCCGGGATATTTGCATGCTTTCTTTCAGTGCTTATAAATACAGATTTAGAGGAATAAACCCAATAAAAAATATAACTGTCTTTTAAAATTTACATACATTTCTCTTCATTTTCCCGTGCATTTAAGTGGCTGGCATGAACCACCTTCGTGAGAATGGCATAGTGCACCGTGACATCAAGCCAGGCAATATCATGCGAGTTATAGGTGAAGATGGTCAATCTGTTTATAAACTGACAGATTTCGGGGCTGCTAGGGAGCTGGATGATGATGAACAATTTGTCTCCCTCTACGGTACAGAAGAATACTTGGTAAACCTAGACACATTTTATTTTTTACTTAGCCTTATTTGTGTAATCTGTAATCTGTTGATACTTGGGGCAAACATCTTAGCAACAGCCTGCATGGCTGCTAGCAGAGTCTGAGTTGTGAATTCATTGATCAGCAACATATTGTGATGGAGATGCGAGTGGGCGTCAGAGGAGGGAGGGAACAAAAGAGGGACAGAGGCCAGTTTTGTCCATGGCACACATTCAAAGGCACATTCAAGGGTAATGTCAGCCTTTATTGAATGTAACAATTGGAAAGTTTGGACACTGTAAGGGTATCAGGGGGTTGCTCGAGAGCAATCAGGCAAATGCCTCCCTGGTCTGTTGTAAAGCCTTGTTATTGGTGCCAAAAAAACCTTCACCAGGCAGAGCACCTCTATTCCGTGTCTTGCTCATTCACTGGCAGAATCTGAGAGTGGGCGGTCCTTAAACCTTCCCCAGCAAAGTAGTTTCTTGACGCCCAGTCTGTGCTTCCCCTCTCTGCGCGGAAGACTACTGTGCAAGGAGGGCGTGGGTAATGGAGGACGTCTCTCCTCCCCTCTTTGCTCAGGCAAGGTGTCCTGGCACTGCCTTGCCTCCTCTGAGCCCTGAAGCTCCTCTCCACTGGAGGCGTGGTTACTCTCCTCTGCTGAGGAGGTGCTGCTTCCCATGATCTTTGAGGGCTCTCTGTAATCCATCTGGCTTTTCCCCTCTCGCCCCTGAGTCGATGGCAGTTCCCTGACAGACACGTAGTACGTTGTGCCGCTTGCTGATGAAGCAATTTATTCTAATATTGCTTCTCTTTGTTCCTTACTCCTTTAGCATCCCGATATGTACGAACGAGCAGTATTGAGAAAAGAACATCAGAAAAAATACGGGGCAACGGTTGATTTGTGGAGCATAGGGGTGACATTTTACCACGCTGCAACTGGAAGTTTACCCTTTCGACCTTTCGAAGGGCCTCGTAGAAACAAGGAAGTGATGTAGGTAATTTAGAGGAAATGCTTTATCCACAGATTATGCTATCAAATAAAAAATAGAAAACGAATACGTAAGAATTGAGGGAATAAAAATCTTGTGTGATTTGGGTAAACTCTTGAATACCTAACACTGGGTTTACATGTACTGCCACTTCCTCATTCTTTACCAGCTGTAGTGAATTTGTTAAATTATTGTCAAATTACTTTGCTTTTTTACAAGCATGTAGAACTGGGGTTTTTTATTCTAGTTGTGTTGAGAGCAGATTTGATTTGGCATCTTCCTCAAAGCATGAGAACTGTGTTTGGAATATATGTGTTAATACCCTGTAGGAAATAACTTGCTAGAAGCCACATGGGCAACGTAGAGAGTGCGCTTATGCTTCAGCCCTGCTTGTCGGTTTTCCACAGGCATTTGGTTGGCCACTGTGAGAACAGGATGCTGGACTGAATAGGCCATTGGCCTGATCCAGCAGGCAAGCTCTCCTTATATTCTTACCTTGTTTCCAAAGTTGTGGCCATCAATTAAAAGAAGACAACTTAGGGCAGATCCACTTAGTAGCATCCCAAGTGGTAGTAGTTCCTGGCTTGGTGCAGACTGTTGCAGAAGAGATAGCAGGAGACTTTGTAAAACATGGACATAGCACAAGTGTGTCTCCTGAGATGCTATATTAGACCTTGTTGCAAACGTAAGCGCACCAAGGATTTCAGTTCTCTTTTGTCCCGTAATAATCTTCCACCAACTTGTGGATTGGGCCTTCCCCTCACCCCTAGATCCAACCCATACATTCAGCTTCCAGATCCCTCTTGCTGTTCTGGCTTCTGGGATTCAGAATATTTTTCTTCTTGTTTTCCTCCTCCAAAAACTAGGTGTGTCTTATGGTCTGGTGCGTCTTATAGAGCGAAAAATACGGTGCGCATTATCGTGTCTTTTAGTATGAGAGAGAATATGGTAAATCATTAGCCATGTCTGCAAATTGAACTGCTTTGAGTTCCAACTCGCTTTAGCAAGTTAGAGAAAGCAAGCCAATGGATTGGAGCCAGAGTTCTGCTTAGGGGAACTCGGCTTAAGGGATGCTCCTGTTGGAGTATGCTTTTCTTGCTGAGTCTTCCTTCCTTATGTACCACCTAGTAAGCTGCTCCATAGGGTTAGAGGGCTCTGTGGAAAAGTGAGGGAGGTGTCATTAGGGACTGCCTGGGGAAGAATGACCTTGCAAAAATTTATCAGGAAAGACACAAGCTTTCTTCATCCACAATTTTTAATGAAATACTTCTGTTTGTTTTACACAGATACTATACCTCTAGTCCAATAATCATGTATCATCATTATTATTTAAATGCTAATGATTGGTTGCTGTTTCTAATAACTAATAGTTCTGGTTCTGGAGGCATGTTCTATTCCTCCCCCCCCCCCCCCAAATATGAATTTGTCTCAGATCTTTATACAACATAAGTTACTTCACATTCCTGAGAAAAGATTCTGGAAAACTCTTGTGCGTTGGAAATGTGCCTGTTAACACAGTGTTAACTGAGCAGTAATCTGGTCCAAGGTCACAAACAGATAATTCCTATTAAGATTATGATTAAGCTTTTAAAGAAATTCTTATGTTTTCAAATGACTGCACTTTACCTTTTAATATCCCAAAGGTATAAAATTATAACTGGAAAGCTTTCCGGTGCAATATCTGGAGTACAAAAAGCAGAAAATGGCCCCATTGAATGGAGTCGTGACATGCCTGTTTCCTGCAGTCTTTCAAAGTAAGTTCATCAAATTGCTGACTCACTTAAGTAATTGGATGCTGAGTGTATTTTCTCCCTCTGCTTTCCTTAGCTGATATCAGACGTATTTCACTTCATTTGTGTTGGTATTGGAAACCATTTTTGTGCATATAGAACGTTTGCTTTCCCACACATGCTATTTTATTGCCACTGTTTTATTGCCCAAGGTTGTTATTTAGAAAGGTACCATGATCACTGCAGATGGAGAAAAGCAGTGACAAACCTAGACAGCATCTTAAAAAGCAGAGACATCACCTTGCCAACAAAAGTCCGTATAGTAAAAGCTATGGTTTTCCCAGTAGTGATGTATGGAAGTGAAAGCTGGACCATAAAGAAGGCTGATCGCCAAAGAATTGATGCTTTTGAATTATGGTGCTGGAGGAGACTCTTGAGAGTCCCATGGACTGCAAGAAGATCAAACCTCTCCATTCTTAAGGAAATCAGCCCTGAGTGCTCACTGGAAGGACAGATCCTGAAGCTGAGGCTCCAATACTTTGGCCACCTCATGAGAAGAGAAGACTCCCTGGAAAAGACCCTGATGTTGGGAAAGATGGAGGGTACAAGGAGAAGGGGATGACAGAGGATGAGATGGTTGGATAGTGTTCTTGAAGCTACCAACATGAGCTTGACCAAACTGTGGGAGGCAGTGGAAGACAGGAGTGCCTGGCGTGCTCTGGTCTATGGGGTCACGAAGAGTCGGACACGACTAAACGACTAAACAACAACAACATTAGAGCTCAGGCAAATTGGTGTAGGTGAAACATAGATGTAAAGAAGAAGAGGAGTTTGGATTTGATACCCAGCTTTATCACTACCCTAAGGGGTTTCAAAGAAGATGCTAGCACTGAGCAAGGGGTTTGGACTAGGTCACCTCCAATAACTCTTTCAACTTCATGATCCTGATACCATATCTCTCTTTCATGTTGCTGCTAAGGATGCTAAGAAACAACTTCTTCTTGGAAACCCAAGGTTTTGGGGCTTTTTGTTCATTATGCTTCAGTTGTTGATGATATATCACTGCCCCAACTTGGAGCATGGTTAGACTCAATATGTCTGGCAGTAACCATGGTTCATTGCTTTAATCCTGGTTAAGATCCTAACTAGTGAAGCCAAGGTTCTGATTGTACAGCTGAAGTCTCTTTTTTCTAGCTTAGGAGCTGGGGAAACAGCTGTAACCATCTGTGCCTTATAAGGTACAGATGAAATGCTTAAATCAGCACAAACTGTGGCTTGCAAACCATAGTTTCACATCCTGGCTTGTGGCCCATCCTCATTCATGGTTCAGCTATTTAGTTGCAACACTTAACCAGGAAAGCAAAATGTATGGTCCACGTAGAGTTTTATTTGGAAGCTAAACCCATGAATTTCAATAGAACTTGCTTTCAAATAAGTGCCCTAAGGTTTGCTGCCTTAGAATTATAGTTTGTTTTCACATTTGAATCTGCTGGTGGATTTCCTTTTCTTTTCTGCCTTTGGGTTGTCGCTGCATATTCTGCAATACATTGCTCCCCCCTATTAAATTACTATGAGAAATTCCAGAAATGATGTACCCAAGTGAAGAATATTCTGTTGCAGTATAGGTGCAAATGCATTTCATGCATGAATCCTGCAGTATAATATAGTATGATGGGCATGTGTTCGGCAAACGTCTCTCTTGTTGCTGCCACCAACTGTCCCACCACTAACAAAAAATAGTTGACACCCTTCGCACTGTACAAAATACTGATTAATTAGATGATCTTTACCTAGCAAGCGTTGAGGAAATATCTCAGTGGGTAATGTCTTCCCTGCTTCATAGAGGATATGAGTAATCATTGACCAGTCGGATCCTAGGCAAGGCAGCCTAGAGAGTTTTATGCTGTTGGCAGTGCTGTTATACATACACAAAAACCAGCAGATTCAAGAGTGGGCAGAAGGAAAAGAAGGAATGTCGTACTTACTCAGAATTAAAAACAAATGTGTTTATTTTTCTATTTTAGGGGCCTGCAAGTACTACTCACACCCGTCCTTGCAAATATTCTTGAAGCAGATCAAGAGAAGTGTTGGGGATTTGATCAGTTTTTTGCAGAGACGAGCGATATACTCCACCGAATAATTATTCATGTTTTCTCTCTGCAACAAATGACTGCACACAAAATTTATATTCACATCCATAATAAGTAAGTATTTCAGCATTTTCATATCTTTATTCTTACGTGACATTTCAAACTGATAGGATCAGGTTACCTCTGAATAGAACAGTTTTGCTTATTAACTCTGAATTCTTTCTCCTTTCACTATGTCTTTATTACTGCATTAGGAGCCATTTTTAAAATGTAATTTTTCTTCTTCTTTTTAAACAGTGCTGCCATGTTTCATGATTTGGTCTACAAACAGACAAAAATAGCTTCAGTTAATCAAGAACTGATATATGAAGGCCGGCGTTTAGTCCTAGAGCCCAGCAGATTGGCACAATCTTTCCCCAGAACCACTGAAGAAAATCCCATAATCGTCGTGAGCAGGGAGCCTGTGAAAATCACAGGATTACTCTATGACGAAAGTATGATGGAGTCTCTTGTTTTTTTCTTTTCTTTTTTAATGGCTGACTTATTTGAACTGAATTGTTATTACTTGATTTTATTATTATTATTTTAAACACGTTACTTTGTTGGATCCTGTTTCGAACATCAGCCCCCTATGTGACCAGATAAGTTACTTTTTAAAAAACTGTGAGCAAGTAATTGGTTTGCTGTCCTGGAAAATCATGTGAGGAAGGGTGGAATGGAAATTGTAAGAAATAAAGCAATCCTAATTATAATTTTTCTTTTATATTCTGAATTTGTTTGAGTACTATTTGCTTATTTTTAAAAAAATACTTCTGTTCTAGTTCTGCTTCCAAAGGTCCATCAACGTTATGACTTAGATACTGATGCAAGCATGGCAAAAGTGAGTATCTCTTCATAATTGTGTCATGGAACCATTTCCTAGAAGGGAAATACATGTATTGGTACTGAACTTGGATATGGCAGAACACCCGATAAGCCCCTGTTCTAGATGGAGTCTCCCCTTCAGCCCAAATATTCTACCCCAACTTTAATATACAGTATCCTGCCTACCAGGTAGTATCTTGAGTTCCTTGCTGCCTTTGTTACCCTTTGTCCCAGCCCAATATCCCAAAATATCTAAAGAGTATGTGCTCCTTTTGCACCTCACAGATGTCTAGGAAGTCCAAACTGTAAAACTAAAGTTTAGAAACCTCAAACTTTAATTCTGTCTTGGTGATAAGTATGTTGCTCAGTATTCCCACCTGCCTCAACGTACAACCTTTTCATGATTTAGCTTCCTAAAAATATGCTTCTTTTACTCCTACAGTTTTATCACAGTCTGTTTGCTTGTGACAAACTGTAGTGTATGCTGCTCACACCTTTCTTTGGTCTTCCAGGCAGTTACAGGGGTTGTTTGTTACGCCTGCAGAGTTGCCCATGCTTTACTGCTGTACCAGGAACTGATGCGGAAGGGAATCAGATGGTTAATGTAAGTGGCGCTGTGATTTGCTTGATCGGGCAGAGTGAATCATTTCTCTGGCACTTAGTGACCCCGGGTATTCCAAGTGCCAGTTACAAAGGTGGAAAGCCCCAGAGAGATCTCTGCCCAACAACTGCCATGCACATCCAGCTATAGACAAACCTGAGCTGTAATAGAACTGCTGTATTTTTTGCTGCATAAGACGCACCTGACCATAAGACACACCTAGCTTTTAGAGGAGGATAGGGGGAAAGCCCTGTTTTCGGGGGGATCAGCTCACAGTTGTGCAGCTTCTTTTGCAAAGGGGAAAAGCCCCCTTTTTTGAGGATCAGCTCAAAGTGGTTGCGCTTACTTTGCAATGGGAAAAAATCCTGTTTTTATGGGGTTCAACTCACAGTTCTGCAGCTTCTTTAGGAAAGGAAAGGGAGCCGTTTCTACAGTTTCCAGACAGATAATCTAATCAGCCAGTCACATGTCGCTGGGGAAACAAACAGCCTCTGTCTACAGAACATTCAACAATGGAGTCCTGGGCAAGGGGGCAGGGCCAGAAAGGGAGCCAGCGATCAACCACACATTCGCTCCATAAGACGCACGGACATTTCCCCTTATTTTTAGGAGGAAAAAAGTGTGTCTTATGGAGCGAAAAATACGGTGTATCCTTTGGTGCTGCATAGGAGGTAGTTACAGCTTGACAGGCTTTCCTGTTCCTTGCAGTAAACTATTAACTTAAGTTTCTGTTAATCATCAAATTCCATCTACAAATGCAATTCTTGTATGCAGGCTGATGGCGTTCTAAGCTTGTTTACTCAGAAGAGGACTATCGCCCGATTAAAAGTACTTAGAATTGTGGCCTTTGTTTACATGCAGCTGCCATTTTGCATGGAGGTTCCGTTCCCGGCTCCCCTGCATACCAGCAGACCACGCCCTGCCCCATTATGCCCCATTCTGTCTCCGTTCTGCCCTCTCCTGGGTCCAAAAGGACCTGCAGGTCGGCAATCGTGCCAAAAATGGTCACCACCTGTTCTTAGAATATAGTACCTTTTCAGGAATAAGTTGATGTTCATTACTTATCACTTACTTCATTTATGAATCATTTCCTATGAGGCATACTGAAATGATTTACAATATACAGGGCTACCTCAGTTTTCAAATGTAATCCATTGTGGAAGACCGTTCGACTTCCGAAACGTTCAAAAACTGAGGCGCAAAGGGCAGCCTGCAAATTCAATAGAGAAAATTGAAAAAAACTCAGCGGAAGCCGTTTGACTTCCGAGGCGTGTTTGAAAACGGAAGCATTTACTTCCGGGTTTCCGGCGTTTGAAACGTACCACTGTAATAACATATAAAAACAGTTAAGACAACCAACAAGACATTGAGTGATGCATATTTATTTTCCATGGGTTGGTGGGAGTGTGTCAATTTTTATATAGAGCAGACGTTTTCTATTGTAGCACACGGCTAGCATATCCGGTATTTTTCATATCTGTGCTGACGCAGTTGGTCTTCATTCTAGCGAAATAATCAAAGAGGATTACAATGAAACGTTACACAAAAAGACAGAGGTGGTTATCAAGCTGGAATTTTGCAACAGAAACATAGAAAAAGCTGGGGAAATGTGAGTATATAAATGCTCTTTTTTAGAACGAATGCTGCATGCTGTGAAGGTCTGCATTTCTCATGTCATTGGATAATATCCAGTCTTAGTCTTGTTGAACAATGATGGGCATTTGCTACAGAATGCCTCCAGCCTGCTCACTGGCTGATTTTGGGCAGTCACTTAATCTAACCTACCTCGCAAGGTTGTTGTAGGGATACGGGGGGTGGGCAAAGCATGTATGCCAGCTTGAGCTCCTTGGAAGAAAGGTGGGGTATAAATATAAAACATAAATAAAATAATTTTTGTTACCCTAAAATGTAGGTTAACTACATAAACTACTTTTAACTAGCCTTCAGCAAAACTGCTTTCAAGGTCTACAGAAATATCTCCACGCACATTTAGTGCTCAATTGTATACCCAGGTCTCCCTATTTCAGGTGTTTGTGGATGTACTGTTCTGTTGGATCCAGAATAATTGTTTTTATTTTATTTTGGCATATCACCAAATAGGGTTTTTTATTTTTATTGTTAACAATTACTTGATCATGCTAAACAGATCTGTGGGCCGTTGTACGTAGGTTGACTTTGTGTGTCTTGTCTTCTGGCGAACAGATATCAAAATATGTATCAAAACAACCTGGCACCGTCAGAAGTGGATGAAATTTCAGACATACACTCCAAGCTGTTACGGGTAAGCATATTAACATTGCAGCATTACAGTACTTGAAATAAGGGTGTACTGCAAATTCCTGGTATGTTTAGTGTTTTCCTGTAAAGGAAAACCACTTTTTTTTTTAGCATGTTTGTTGAGCATGTTCATTAGCTGATGGTATTTTCTTCATATGAATCTATTTAGTGTATGTGTTATTTCTTTCCAATTTGGATGTGGAGAGATGTGAACAGTCGTGGGGAAATCGCTCAAATTTCTGGCTTGATATTTGTGTGTGTGTGTGTGTGTAGAAGTGGCATACGGCAGAATTCTTGTGGGGAAAATAGCGAGCCATGCTTTTTTCACATGCATGGGTGTTCGCATGAAGAAACACGTCCGCCAAATGTGATGCTGAAGCAGTTGCACAACAGCACTGCAGGGAGATCAAACTAATACAGGTGTTGAGCATTAATGTGCTAGTGAAATATTCCAGTAAAGTTTATCGCACACCCTAAAAGCAAAAATAAAAAGATCTCTTTCAATGTAGATGACTTTCTATTTTTGTGTCAATGGTGTTTTGTGTATATTTTCAGTGACAGCAATGTAGGGATGTTGCCTGTAAGCACAGATTCTTAGCAGCCAATAGAAAGTCTCTCTTTCCTCCAATGCAAGGATGCTTAAAGTATGTTAAGGTGGACGTCTGTAAATTCTAGGAAATGTGGCTTGGCTTGCTGCTATTATGAGGTGTTGCAGGTTTCTGGCCAATTTTCTGTCATTGAGACATTTTCAGCTATTCTAAAGTAACCAGGGTTTCTTTCTTTCTATATATACAGTCATACCTCAGGTTGTGATCGCTGTGGGTTGCGCGTTTTTGGGTTACGGACGCACCGAACCCAGAAGTTCCAGAACGGGTTACTTCTGGGTTTCGGTGCATGCGCAGAAGCGCCAAATCGTTCTTTGCGCATGCGCAGAAGCGCCAAATCGCATCATGCACTTGCGCAGACGCGGCGCTGCGGGTTGTGAACATGCCTCCCGCATGGATCACGTTCGCAACCCAAGGTTCCACTTTTTTTATTATTTATTTTCCATTTAATTATATACATTCACATCATCATTTATATACATTCACATCATCATTATCCACTTTACTGCCCTGGCTCTTTAGAGCCTATTGACTTCCTTCCCTCCTGCCTCATGGCTTTCAAAATTAACCTTTATATCATTGCATTTTGTACATTTTCCAGTTCTAATTGCACTCATTACAAAATGACTCAAAATTTAAATAAATAAAGGTAGAAAATTTCTCATTACAAGTCTTCAGACAACCCTGCTAGTGATGTTAATTGCTTGCAATAATCTTTCAAATATTGTCTAAATTTACTCCAGTCCTTTTGGAATACTTGATCATGCTGGTTTCGGATTTTTCCTGTCAGCTTTGCCAGTTCTGCAAAGTCCATCATTTTCATCTGCCACTCTTATTTCATTGGTACTTCTTGTTGTTTCCATTTTGGGGCTAAAAGAATTCTTGCCACAGTTGTTGCATACATAAACAATCTTTTATCTTATATTTATAAAAGATAAAAAGGTTTCTTTCTATATATGTTCCAAAACTCAGCTTTCAGCAAATTTTTGCTGGGTAAAGCTGAATTTCTTGCATTCGTTCAGCTTTCAAGTTCGCGGGGAACAATAGAGAGCAGTCTTCAGGATATCAAAAGCAAACTCTGTCCGAATGGCCTGCTGTCTGATGGCTGGACCAACCAGGAAGGCACGCACCCGAAGGACAGAAAGTGAGTGGCATTTCCACGTAAAGTTCTTACTGTGCTTCGTTTTCAAGTTCATGCATACTGGCATGTGTTAAATGATTTATATCTTTACTTTTTGTCTCCTAGCCCAGAAAGGTTGCAAGTCCTACTGAGTTCCATTACAGAAATTTATTATCAGTTCAAAAAAGACAAAGCAGAACGCCGTAAGTAATTTTAGTTTATATTTAGCTGAGTTAAGTTATGAGGTACTGCAGATTTGCCTCTTTACCACCTGAGGTGTATATTTTTTAAGAACCATCCTATTTTTTGTGACTGTAAGTTGTGATTGTAAACCATTTTTAATGTTGCGTTTATTTTAAATTGTCATACTTTAGGCTTAGGGTGAAGGGTGGGTAATAAATTAAAATAATAGTAATAATAAGTAATAGTAATAACCAGTGCTTTTTTCCTGGAGGGCCACATGGGTACACATACCCCTAAACATTTCGTGAATCTAAGTTTGGCCTCATTGAAGGGCAGTATTTCAATATGAGTAGGAAAATGAGAGTACCCTTAAACATTATTATTTTTTTAGAAAAAAGCCCTGGTAATAATAATGTTCAAAGTTAAAATGATCATGGCTAAGTATATGTGTACAGTCGTACCTTGGAAGTCGAACAGAATCTGTCCCAGAAGTCTCTTTGACTTCCAAAATGTTCAGGAACAAAAGCGCTGCTTCTCATTGGCTGCAGGAAGCTCCTGCATCCAATCGGAAGCCCCGTCAGACATTTGGGTTCCAAAGAATGTTCGCAAACCGGAACACTCACTTCTGGGTTTGTGGCATTTGGGATCCAAGGTACGACTGTATTTGACTTGATGGGGGGTCATCGATTATAAAATCAATTTGTGTTTCAAACGGTGAGTAGAGAAAGCAATTCTGATCTGCCACTCTGCTGCCCAGAGGCTCATTTGTTCCCATGCAGGTCCTCCCTGTTTCTCACTGGGTCTCCTTCCCTCCCCGCCCACTGACGTTTGGCTTGAAATAATCATTCTTCTGTAGGCAGTAGGATTCATTGGGGTCCTTGTGTCCACACACAGACAGCTTCTCCAGTTTGCCCGTGTGCCCTAGAACCCAAAAAGCTTCACAACCCCCTGAGCATTACTTTTGCTATCCGATTTCATTTTATTCATTTATTTTCTTTAGGACTTCCATATAATGAGGAACAAATCCACAAATTCGACAAGTAAGTCTCTTTTTAAAATTCTATAAATATTTTGGGTGAGGTCCAGCATCCCACCAGTGGACACAAAATGACAAAATAAAAAAACAACATGTGATTTTCTATATGTGGGATTCCTCTACTATAATAATAATAATAATAATTATTTATTTATACTCCGCCTATCTGGCTGGGTTTCCTCAGCCACTCTGGGTGGCTCCCAACAGAATATTAAAAACATGATAAAACATCAAACATTGAAAATTTCCCTAAATAGGGCTGCCTTCAAATGTCTTCTAAAAGTCAGATAGTTGTTTATTTCCTTGACATCTGATGGGAGGGCGTTCCACAGGACGGGTGCCACTACCGAGAAGGCCCTCTGCCTGGTTCCCTGTAACCTCACTTCTCGCAGTGAGGGAACCACCAGAAGAACCTTGGAGCTGGACCTCAGTGTCTGGGCAGAACAGTGGGGTGGAGACACTCCTTCAGGTACACTGGACCAAGGCCATTTAGGGCTTTAAAGGTCAGCACCAACATTTTGAATTGTGTGCTCTACTGTGTACTCTTTATACAACATTCTCCCTCTTTGGAGTGCAGAGATACTGTTTTTAAGGTCCAGGATTGTGAGGAATGGAATATTTGGGAGCAATATGACAGTATGGTTCTTATTTCTGTGCTGCAGGCAGAAGCTTTTTCTACATGCTACAAAAGCCATGACCTTGTTCAAGGAAGAATGCGTCACCAAGTACGAAGTTTTCTTTGACAAGGCAGAGGACTGGATGAGGCAAGATTTTTTGTTTTGTGTATCATTGGACTCTCTCTACAAGAGCAAGTCATAGTGACACAAAAACATGATTTTAAAACTGGTTTTCCTTTTCAGGAAGATGCTTCTTTTAAGAAAGCAGCTAATGAATCTCAGAAAACTCTGCTTCGATATTGAGGAAGAGGTGTCAAAATATCAGGACTATGTAAATGATGTAAGTGTTCTCCTTAATTACAGTCATAGCTTGGTTTTCAAACAGTTTAGTTCTCTAACGTTTTGGCTCGCGAATGCCGCAAACCCAGAAGTGACTTCCTGTTTGCAAACTATTTTTGGAAGCCAAATGTCCGACGTGGCTTCCATGGCTTCCGATTGGCTGCAGGAGCTTCCTGCAGCCAATCAGAAGCCGCACTTTGGTTTCCAAACATTATGAAAGTTGAATGGACTTCCGGAATGGATTCCGTTTGACTTCCAAGATAAGACTATCAGTATTTTAAAGAGGGATAGTCAAAAGAGGAATAAGTGCTTTGCAGAAATTCGTAATAACGTGCACAGATTTTCCCCTTCAATTTTATTGCATACACATGGTCTCCCAACATTGCTCCATTAACACTGTAATCCTATGCATGCTTATTCAGAATTAGCCCTATGGAGTACAGTGGAGCTTGCTCCCGGGTAAGTGTGCATAGGATTGCAATATAAAATTACTAGAGCTCAGTGGTTGTCTTACTGTGAGAAATGTATTAAGGAAGAGAACAATTATCATAAACATTTCAATTTAGAAAAGATTGACTCCATTCCAGATGTACCAAGCAATTTCTGCTGCCAGCTTTGATCATCTGTGGACAGGGGGAAGATTGCTTGGAGTTCATTGAAATTAGGCTCTAGGGCAGTGGTTCTCAACCTGTGGGTCCCCAGATGTTGTTGGACTACAACTCCCATCATCCCTGAGCTCTGGCCTTGCTAGCTAGGGGTGATGGGAGTTGTAATTCAACAACATGTGGGGACCCACAGGTTGAGAAAGGCTGCTCTAGGGCCACAGGCCTCCCATCCCTAACATATAAGATCTCTTTCCAAAAAAACATTGTCCCTCTCCCCCTTTTTATTAAGTCCACCAGTGGAGCATTGAAAAGCTAGACAGGATTTATTTGCCGCAGAATCCAGAACAATTCACTCTCTTTGATAACCAGAATGCCCAAAACTTCCCAATTCTTTAGATCTTTAAAAAAGCTTCGAGAACAAGAGGAAAATTAACATTGTATAGGTAATCCTTCTGATATGTTATTTTTGTGCCTAAATACCTTCCCAGTTTAGATAGCCAGCTAATAGAACTCCTTTTTAGTGCAGTCTTCACAGTTCCATAAATTCTGTTTTGTTAACATTAGACTTACTGTACATCTGGAAAACTTACTAAATAGAGTTATGCAACTACAGACTTCAGGAATTGACTAATGAGGGTCCCACAGTGCTGTCAGGGTAGCACTGTTAGTCAAGGTGGGGTGAAGGGGGAGGCGCAGTTGGTCTTCTTAAGTCTCTTGGGAGCAAGAGCTCATGCTCTTTTCAACTCTTGGGTACCAAATGTCATCCCTTGAATCCAGTGAGTATTTATCAGAAATATGTCTCCTGTTTTTTTCTTATTAAGATGGGCTTTGTGTATTTTATTACAGTTACAAGAAAATTTGCCCCATAAGATGTTTGCGGCTTCCGGTGGGATCAAACATACAATTAACCCAGTTTATCCAAGTTCAAACACTTTGGTAGAAATGACTCTTGGGTAAGAATTTCTCACCTGGATGAATGCAATGCTTTTTAACCTGCTTTTCACAGAACTACTTAAAAATGCCAAGCTTTTGTTAAGATTGTTATTTTTTTATTATTTGAACCCCACCCATATGACTGGATTGCCCTAGCCACTCTGGGCATAGTCACATTTGAATGTTGACACCAAGCTTTATTAGTTGTTTTTTTAACCCAGGGGTGGCTAATCTGTGCCCTTCCAGATGTTGTAGTCCAACTCCCATCATCCCTGACCATTGCACTGTTGGCTATTTGCAGTTTAGTTGTGCTGCAGAAAGCTTGCTGGGGAGACCACGCATTACAAGGAACTCAAAAATAACTTTAACAAGGTTTTAATAACAAAAACAAAAACTCCTTTTACATTAAATATATCAACAAGCATGAGCCACCCATCCCCCGGGGTGCTGAGAGAGTTAGGTGCTGCTCTTTATATACTATACCCAATTGCTGACACAGCTTAATTAACACAACTTAGCAGCACCTGCTATACTGTTTCACAGCTGTAAAACTGGGTCTCGTTATTTGCTCTGGCCCTTAAAGACATACACATCTTGTGGAACAATAATGAACCTTCACATTTAAAGAGACCATTCAACATGCACATGCTGGCTGAGGCTGAAGGTACTAGTGGTCAAGCAACATCTGGAGGACCAAGATGGCATAGTTCTAGAAACAGTATTGCCATGCCACATTTGTGTTTCTTATTCTTGTGCCAGCTGTTCTTATGGTGCTGCCATCACTAGCCCTATTTGGTGTGTTTTTTAAAATCCTTCATGGAGTAAGAATCGCATAAAGTAGAGTAGGGACAAGGGCAGTTGTTTCCTTCCTCTCCCTCTTCTCCAAACATCTGCCATGGGGAGGCTTTCCTACTCATGTAAGCAGTGTTGGAAAAGCCCCGGGGCCGCCTGCAAGCCCATGGAATTCCAAGCGTCCTCTGATGTGTGCAGCACTGGAAAAGGCATCTCCCTCCTTCTCCAGGGCGCTCCAGCAACATATATCAGCTTGATATATGCACACTAATCTTCTGGCATAACACAGTAAGAAGAGTGAGACATCGTAGATCTAATCTACGATTTATTTACATGCTATATACAGACTACAGCATAATGGTATCTGTTCTCTCCAGTTCTGAGAGAACGACAAAAATGAAAGTACATTACAAAGTACATACAGAGGAAGAGAGATAAGGCTGTCTTCCGTTCCCACAGTCTTCTCAGACAGGCGTGTTATTCACACCAGTTACATCTGCAGCATCGGCTGCATGAAATACTAACAGTTGGCAGGGTGGATTTGATTTAAATCATTTTTTTAACAGAAAGACCCATTCTTGCTGGTATGATATTAATATTTACAACCAGATGAAGGTTTTATTTTTGTAATAATAAATTTCCAGAGTAGTTTTTTCAGTTATATCAAAAATTACTGATTTGGTTATACAATTAGAAATACATATAGACAGATAATTATGGAAATATTGTGAGGTTTAATAAGTTAACTGTTTATATTTGGACAACTTTTCTGCTGTACTTTATTGGAAGGAGGAAAATAATCATTTCCTTAATAACAATAACATTATAGCATATATATCTATGTTTGTTAACTGATGTGGTTAAACAATTAAAAAAAAAACTTAGACTGAGTTTTAGCACACATTAAAAACTTAAAACAAATCCTTATTTCCTGATGAATAGCCTTTGGACTATAATGTAACTTAAATAGAAAACTATCTTTACAAAGATTTTCCCTCCAAAAGTATTTTATTTTAAAAATCCAATTTACATTTTAAAAAATTGATTTATTTTTTTAAAAACCACTTTAAAAATCATTGATTTTTATCCTCCCTGCATGTAGGCTCCTCATGTGATTTAGAACCCTGGAAGAGCCTAGTAGTCAGTGAGCCGAGCTGAAAGTTCCTCTTTAAATAGTCGTCCTCTTTAAATAGTCATTATACACAGTTTGGGTGTCTTTTTGAAAAATCTGTTTCACTTCCAGTTTCCTTACATTAAAGAAATAGCCAGTAGTTTTATAAAGATTTTAAACTGAGAATTAAGCACTGTGCATTTCTTTTCTTTCTTTCTTTTAAACTTTCAGCATGAAGAAACTGAAAGAAGAAATGGAAGGTGTCGTTAAAGAATTAGCCGAGAATAATCACCTTTTGGAAAGGTAAGTGGGGGTTTTAAGGAACTTAGTTTGGCAGCAAGCATATACGGTGAACATGTAGCTGTGCATCTCTTTTGAGAATTTCTTGTGCACCTGAAGAGGGTTGGCCCACGGCTTGCAGGAGATCCATGCTTTGAAGTGGCGTCTTGTGTGCAACCAGAAGCAAAGGAGCCACCCTGCAGAGGCGCACGTGTGAATTCTGTGCAGAGATGCTGGTCGCTTGAGTGTTTCCCATGTAATTGGCATCCCACCAGGAAGGAGAGTTAGGAATGACCGACACAGTGGACCCTTCCACTGCACTCACACAAATGCACTCCTTGTGGTGAAAGGCAACGTGGGTGGTGCTGTGGTCTAAACCACTGAGCCTCTTGGGCTTGCCAATCAGAAAGTCGGCAGTTCGAATCCCCACAGCAGGGTGAGCTCCTGTTGCTTGGTCCCAGCTCCTGCCAACCTAGCAGTTCGAAAGCACAGCAGCACAAGTAGATAAATAGGTACTGCTGTGGCAGGAAGGTAAACGGCGTTTCTGTGCACTCTGGTTTCCGTCACAGTGTTCCATTGCACCAGAAGCTGTTTAGTCATGCTGGCCACATGACCTGGAAAGCTGTCTGTGGACAAACACCGGCTCCCTCGGCCTGAAAGCAAGATGAGCGCCGCAACCCCATAGTCGCCTTTGACTGGACTTAACCATCCAGGGGTCCTTTACCTTTTTTTAAAAAAAAACTCATTTTGTACTTCCAGATGCACTCCTTGTGGTGCGTCTTAAAGACTTGTTCGATTCAAGCCAGTGGGCTTGATCCAACTAAGTCAGTTGAACTCTGATCCCATAGAAATCAACAGAATGAGTTCATTCCACTGCACTGCAGCACAATCACTCAATACTGTGTACCAGAGACAGCATTAAATGCTATGATTGTGTTTTTTTGTTTAGGTTTGGTGCTTTGACGATGGATGGTGGCCCAAGGAATGTGGATTGTATTTAGCTGGACAATTTACCACAACACAATCCTGAATTTGCACAGAAAGAGCGTATATCCATTGAAAGAGTTTTCTGAACTTGGCATTCCCCCTCAGTATTTAATAAAAGCATGTAAATATGTACATAATGTATATAATAGAAAGTATATTTCTTTTGGTAACGTTACAAGTGGTCTTAACATTTGGAGTAACATCAGAACTTTCCTCCGTGTGAAATAATGACGGCTGCATATTGTGATGAGCACATCGACGCAATGCATTTGCTTGAAATGCTGTCCTTGCCTGTTTACTTGTGAATGTTGCTAGAGAAACTGCTCTTGGAAAAACCCTACTTCATTTTTGTCAAGGAAATTGGGCTTCCCCTTAAGTCACCTGAATGCACAGTACCTCGTTTATGATCCTCTGAAATTGTTTCCTGCTGTCTTTCATTGTGAGCAGATGTCTCTTACAAAGTACAAAAAAAGAGACAGGGAAAAGTATGATTACCTCTTGAAAAAGTATCTCTCTTAACTAATGGTGAAGGAAATATTTTTGAGTTTGTAATCATGTTCAGTTTGAGTATGTATAATCTGCCAGTTTGGGATTTAAAAGCACATACAAATTGAATCTTCTATTTGCTAAATCAACAGGTGACGGAAAAGCTGTAACATGTTCGCTAGCATAGAGTGTGTCTCAAAATCAGTGAACCTTGTTATTAATACTTACTGGCATTTAAAAAAACAAACCCAAACACCATACAATTTCAAAAGTAGCATTTACTTTCTTACATGCTAAACATTGAGCCTGGTGTGGCCCATATACTGGTTTCTAATCTTTGTCAGTTCTACTAAAGTAGGAGAATTCTTTCCTTTTTTTATTAAAGCTATTGTGAAGCGCTTGACACTGAGGTAAAACATTGGCACAGGTGTTTACGCAGTTGCCTTGGAAAAGGGGATCCCTGAAGAGTTGGCACTTTCCTCACTCACTGAAAGTGCCTTGGCCCAGTTTTGGGGAATCTTCCTTACAGCTCATCAACCTCATTCAGCACAGAGGCCCAAAATTTAGTTCAGCATTTGATAAGCTATCATGGGGAGGAGGTAGTAGAGAAGTGAGCTTCTGCTAGCTTCCTTACACTGTGTTTTAAATTTTTTTAATTCAACAGACATGCGCACATACAATAACAATCTAATTCAGTCTTACTGACTTTAGTGGAACTTATTTTCCAACGTGTCTAGAAAGTAAGGCTGTTGTTCTAAGCCAGAGTATTCTGGATAAGTTCTAGGAGAGACCCAATTGATCTGAGACTATTCTAGATTTCTGTGGATTGAGGCCTTCGTTTCTTTTAATCAAATTTCTAATCAACTCTACCTTCTGTCTCCTCCATTCTGACATGCCAAAATACAAATAAAAATCATCCGTCTCTACATAGTCTCAAATGGATAAAGAAATATTATTTCACTGTTGCAGCTCTTATTTTCATTACCAAGTTTCCAATAACCTAGTTGGAAGGACTACGGAAATCATAGGTAGTAAATCTATGTGAAATTTTGCTGCCTTATTGTATGTAAATGTCTATTCTGAAATGTTGAGATTATATTTCTGTAACGTGTTTACTTTATGCTATCATTTTCTGTTTTACAGAATCATCATTTTGCATAATCCTGTTTACTCTATAACATAATTTTTGAAGGGAGGAAATGGAGAAGGGTCGATTTTTCTTCCATATACTGAAACCAGTTTTAAACGAATAGTGTAAATCATGGAGGACAGCTTTTATGTTGCTGAAGGCACTTCTGCCACATTCTCCCATCCCTTCAGAGTTCCTTCCTTTCTATTAGTTTCATTTTATTTTATTTTAAAGGATTTTGCTGTCTTTCTATGAAGTTTCAGAATAACAGTGAGGGGCAGTGTTTTATTTGATTAAAATACTTTTTTTAAGCTTTTCTTCTGGGCTTTTTTTGGGGGGGGGGTTCTCTCAGCTGCCCAAGAACAAATTGATAGCTTTCTATCATATATGTTTATGTGCATACGGCACACTAAAATAAGAAAGGAATTACTTTTACTTGAAATTTTCAAATTACCTATATTAGTCTCCTATACTAAAATAAAAAAATTATATATGTATTTGAGAGGAACCCCCAAATAACCCAGAGAGGCTTATTTCTGAGGACACCTTTATAGGACTGAGAATTCTAATCCGTGGTAGCCATGGTGAAAATTGAAGCAGTACAGTCTATTCTGGATTAATCTACATTGCTTTTGTCTCTGCCCCTGCTTACAGCCCCCAACAGATTACATTACAGGGTACGCAGCACTCAAGAGAAAAAAGGCCCTGTTCCCCCTTCCTCCATGTAAATTATTAAGATAAGTTGTAAACAATATGACATATACCAGCTTGCTTTTTTGTAGTGTTCAATATTTTGCATTGTGTTTTCATATTAATTTGTAGAGGGAACTCTACCATTCTTAGTCTGTATAGTAACTCTATCGGCAGCGGCTGTGGGTCTTGCGAAAATTCTCTTCAAATCAATGTACCACAAGTTAGGCAGCAGCATGAGAAATAAATCTCTTTTCACACTTCTAATTCATTGTCCTTGATATGATGAATTGCTGATCTTGGTACGTAAGCAATGTACATCATTGGACTTCAAGACTGGATACTCACAGTGTTATACAACATTGTTAAGAGTGTGTGAAAGATAATGGGTTGAAAGAAATAATTAAAAAAACAACAAGGTATGAGCAGGACGCTGAAGTTGGTTGCTAGTTCCCAGTTCCTTATTTGGTTGAAAGTTTGAAACACTGAAAAAAGAAGAAAAGTTAATATGTTCTGAACTCCGAAGTAAAGTATGTCTCTGAATTGCAAAATAATATTTGGGATACCCTACATGATATATAGGGACGCAGGTGGCCCTGTGGTCTAAACCACAGAGCCTGGGGCTTGCTGATCAGAAGGTCAGCGGTTCAAATTTCTGCGACGCGTGAGCTCCCGCTGCTCGGTCCCTGCTCCTGCCCACCTAGCAGTTTGAAAGCACGTCAAAGTGCAAGTAGATAAATAGGTACCGCTCTGGCGTGAAGGTAAACGGCGTTTCCGTGCGCTGCTCTGGTTCGCCAGAAGCGGCTTAGTCATGCTGGCCACATGACCCGGAAGCTGTATGCCGGCTCCCTCGGCCAATAAAGCGAGATGAGCGCCGCAACCCCAGAGTCGTCCGCGACTGGACCTAATGGTCAGGAGTCCCTTTACCTTTACCTTTTACATGATATATATCTCCATGATCAGAGGACACACTCCTTTGAGCCCAACGGTAATTTTCTTCAGTCAACAACATGCTTGTGAAATGCTCATAAATATGTGATTACATCATGCAACCATTTTTTTAAAAAAACAGGTAACTGAAGGTGGCCACTGCAAAATATGGCTATTTCCACCACAAATCATACACCGATACAACCATGAAAATGTCCTCTACAAGATGCCATTGAAATCTCACCTGGCCTAGAGCTGGCATGAAACACATTTATGCAGATCAGCAATAGCCAAAATATGGGGGTAGGAGGAACTGGGGTTGCCCACTCCAATATTGCTTTGTACCACCACATATCATGCACTCGTGTTCAGGAGAGTGTCCTCTACAGGATTGCATGAGATCCCATACAGTCTAGGGCTTTCTTTGGGTGCAAGGCCCAGTCAGGCATTCCTGTGCATACCAACAATGGTCAAATATGAAGGCGGAAATTTCAATGTAAGCGGGGCCCCACACCAAAATATGGCTTAAAGGTAAATGGACCCCTGACCGTTAGGTCCAGTCGCGGACGACACTGGGGTTGCGGCGCTCATCTCGCTTTATTGGCCGAGGGAGCTGGCGTACAGCTTCCAGGTCATGTGGCCAGCATGACTAAGCCGCTTCTGGCGAACCAAAGCAGCGCATGGAAACGCCGTTTACCTTCCTGCCAGAGCGTAACCTATTTACTTGCACTTTGATGTGCTTTCGAACTGCTAGGTTGGCAGGAGCAAGGACCGAGCAACGGGAGCTCACCCTGTGGCAGGGATTCAAACTGCCGACCTTCTGATCAGCAAGCCCTAGGCTCTATGGTTTAACCCACAGCGCCACCCACTTAGGTCACCACAAATAATAAAACCATGCATCTGGTAGGGCAGCGTTTCTCAACTGAGGGCCACGTGGCTCCCTGGGGGGGCCCAGGATATTCCACAGGTGAAAATCACTTAAATGGGGGGAGCATGGCACAAGACTAGAGGGCCACAGAGGAAAGTGAGGAGTGAAGAAAACACAGAAGTGACCTAGAAAATAAAACAACCAAATTGCATTCCATTTTCTGATACTTGTTCTTTATCTTAGTCTCGCAGCTACAATATGACTGAAACTAGCGTTTGTCTCTAACAAGTCTTGGGAACAAGTTCGCCTGAACGTTGCCACATCCTACATTTTTAAACTCTCCAATTCCATCATAGAAATTCCAGTCCTTTGTGTTTCCAATATTCTGCAAAGAAACAAAGGGATAGCCAGTGTTTTAAGTTATCACTGAAAAAGTATTTTTAAAAAAGGTGTACATTTAATTTTTAATTTAAAATAATGAATTTAAAATATAAGAAGACACCTTTTCTAGATAAGACTAAAGACCCATCAAGTCTATTATCCTGCTTTCACAGTGTGTAGAGTATGGATCTAGCCAAGAATTAAAATCTTAATTGAATAAACAACACATGAAGATACATCACTCAGGGTATTATGGGACATACTCAGCATCTTAAATCATGATGGGATTCTAAGAAGTTTATGAGTTTAATAAACAATCTAGCTGTTGAGATACAAAACACCCTAGCTTTTATTATGTTTTCAGTGGTCCTTGGCTTCCCAGTTGCATTAAAATACTTTGCTCCGACATTCCTTCTGGCTTCCATGCAATATAGCGAAAACTAGGAAACAGTATTTCTGTTGGATATCTGTCTCTTATATTCAAACAGACACAGACAAAAGAATATCTGTGGAAATGTTTGCTTTATCTTCTAGGACACATTGACGCACGAAATACAATCTATCAAGATTCAGACTGGAAAAAGGCAGTAAGTTAAAAATATCTGAAAGTGGGGGTCTAAATATCTTACATGTTTTAGTATGGAGGAGTGAAACATAAATATCTCCTGAAACATCAGTACTATGCACTGTGTTACACAAATGTTTTTAAGTCATTTTACAATTTTGATGCAACATCTTTGTTCCTATAACGTTTTGTGTGCTGTTGTGTCTGGATTTAGGCAAGAAAATGTCAACTTAAACGAGATAGCTGGAGGCAATAAACTCTAAAAAGCAGCAAATGTAAAAAATATGGGCATCCTTTTCAATTGGACACTGTTTTGTTTAATGAGAATAGTGTAATTATCTAAAAGCACAATGAAAATATAAGCATCACGGTTGCACAGATTCATCATTCTTATCTATATATAAAAGCATGTCATTTATTTATAGACTTTCATTTTGAGGTGCCAAAAGTAAGCCACTATATATTTTATTCATTTGTTGGATTTCAGTGTCAGCAAAAGTGATTTGTTAGAGACTGAGCCTAAGACTGCATATTGGAAACTTTAGCATAGATACTGGCAGTACAGTTTAGAATCAGAAAAGGATTTATTTTCAAATAAACATGATAGTAACAGAGCACCTCATTCTAAATAGTAACAATATCAAGGTATCTTTATAATTCATCACCCACTTCATAAGATTGTGGGAAGAATGCTCTGTTGATTTGATTAACGGATTTCTGTAAGGAAAACACCTGTTTAATGTTGGGATCATATATAACCTGAGAAAAATACTACAGGAAATGGTTTTTTAAACAGCATTTTTGTAAAGATACTGATGAATTCCTCTCACTGTACCACCATACAGTTTGGTTATAGTAATGTGACTGAATATAAAGATAGAGATCTCTAGTTTACTAAATGTAGATGAGAGGATTTAGGACCAACAGGTGGCCTTGAGACATGCTGGCTGAGGTTCTATTCACGGCGATCTTATGGGGTTGTGGGTATTTGAGGCTTTTTCCTTCCTTCCTGCACTTCTGTGCAGTTACCTCAAGAGCAGTCGGCTGACTTTAGCTATGGCAATAAGAAACGACTTCAACAAAACAATTAGAAGGATAGCACAGTTTTTTTATTGGTTCCCCAAATCACTGGGTAGCCCAAAGAGGAGAAAAATCAAGCTTCTTTGCACATCTTCTGGTAAGTTTATCTTTTCCTCTTCTCAGCAATGAACTTAAATTGAGAAGTCATGTTCTCTTAACAAAACTAAAACCCTTTCTCCCGCAGTTTTGTGATGAGTGTTGTAGCAGAAATAAATTAGTCTGTGTCAAGTTGCTTGAAGCACATCTAAGGGTCTGAGCAGGCCTACTAAGATTTTTACTCTTCTCTTCGAACCAGCACATCTCCATTGGTAGATAGATAATAAACAGCTTAATATTTTTTAAAAATCTAAGCAGTGTACTACATGAACACCGTAACAATTTCATTAAAACAAAAATACAACAGTAAAGTATGGAAGCATATTTAAAAAACGGGTTCAGCAAATTTATACAGAGAAAAATGGACTGATCTTATGGATTAGGGAAAGCCTGGGCAAAAAGATATACTATTTACAAGATGTCTGAAGCTGCTGCTTCACATATGGCAGAGACAGAGAAAGAGAAGAGCTCCTCATTGAGTTTGAATGGAGACTTGAAAGCTGTTCTTTAGGGAACACTTGTGCCAAGCAGCAGTGGGTACATGGGCCCGTCGTGCTCCTGTCTGAATTCTGATCATATGCATTATTTTGAGATATATTGCTTTGGTGGATTAAGGCCATCTGCTCTAGCATTCAGCTTCACATGGCAGCCAGCAAGATTCCTCTGGAAGGAAGGAAGGAAGGAAGGAAGGAAGGAAGGAAGGAAGGGGAAGAAGAAGAAGAAGAAGAAGAAGAAGAAGAAGAAGAAGAAGAAGAATTTGGATTTGATATCCCGCCTTTCACTCCCCTCCAGGAGTCTCAAAGCAGCTAACATTCTCCTTTGCCTTCCTCCCCCACAACAAACACTCTGTGAGGTGAGTGGGGCTGAGAGACTTCAAAGAAGTGTGACTGGCCCAAGGTCACCCAGCAGCTGCATGTGGAGGAGCAGAGAAGGAAGGAAGGAAGGAAGGAAGGAAGGAAGGAAGGAAGGAAGATATCTTCCAGCATCTTGGAACCAGGGATACGTTGCTTCTACAAGCAATGGCCATTCCCGAGTTTGCCTAATCCTTTACTTGATCCATCTAAGTTTATGGCTACCACCACATCTTTTGCGAGTCAATATCATTCATTATGCATTTGGTCAACATAGCCTGTCCTGAACCTACCGTCAGGTGACCCCAGGTGCTATCATGAGAGAAGGAGAGAAATGCCTTCCTCACCATGTTTTACACGTGGTTAATAATTTTAGAAAACCCATTTATTTATGTATTAAACGTATATCAAGCCTTTCCTCCCAAAGGAGCCCAGAGTGGGAAACACATCAGCATTAAAGCAAGAACAATTAAAAATAGCACAGCAATGTATTCAAAACATTCACAAACGACGACATACTTTCACAGCTAGCAATTTCAAGGTTGCAGGAGCAGAAAGGCTCAGTCATCAAATGCCTGG